ATCCGCTTGGTCCAAGGTCAACTGCAGTTGTGACCTGGTCAGCTGCTGACTGGTGGGCGGTCGGCAGTAGCTCCTGATGGAACCAGTCGCTTGCGTTCTGCTTCAACACATGCTACCACCACTGCTCGACGCCGCCGCTATCACTAGCCAATCACCATCGCTCCCCCTTCCGCTCCAGTCCGACGATGTCTTCAACCAGGCACCCTACCTCAGCAGGCGTCCAGCATCCGGACTCCGTCAGACAGGGGTCAGCTCGTGTTAACCTCAGAACGATATCGAATAGTACTCGTCGAGCTGTGGCTTCAGTTTGTTTCGCTGCACGAAAAGCTGCGCCGTTGGCGTTGGTGTAGCACTGCCTCCATCCACAACACTGATTCGTATTTCAATGGCGCACAGCGTGTCCGGATTTTTTCTACACCTTCAATGTTTGCGTCATTTGGCGGCCCGCTGCGTTTGGGGGTATTGTAGTCGCCCCTACTCGAGCTAGCTCTGTGGTTGGCTTTGTCGGTTTGTTTTTGCACAGCTTGCTTCTCCTAAGTATACGAAGCGTCTCCCAACTATGCGCCAAAACGTATTCCTCTGACATACACTATGACCGACACTGGTATCTGACGGGAGCAAATTTACGTCGCGGATCGTCACGAAGGTGAGTCTGTTGTATGCACAACTTTTACGTCACTCCGTGGAGCCGTCTGCGCCGCGCGCCTGGCTGAGGAAACGAGGCATTTTATGCACTTTTCGTAAAATTAAAATTCCACAAATCCGATATAGCAGAATTCGAAATCACGCAACTTCTTATCGCATGATGGCACGATTTGATGCACATTTCCACAAAACTTCATTGTTGGCGACTTTTTAAGATTTCGTGCTTTGGTGATGCAAATTCTGTGAGTGAGGTCGCTTGACAATATTTGTCTGCACATCAGAAACAAATTTAATCTTTCTTTGACAAAAAAAAAACGCGAAGAATCATGTGGGGGCGTCAAGAAGTTTGGTGTCGATGTCTTCATCCGATGTCTTCATTCGATGTTGAGTTAACAAAGCATCCAGACGAGCGGGTATTGGCTTCGCCAATGGTGAACGGGTAAACCATCCCCACGCGGAAAGCCTAAGAGCTCCTTTGAAGTTCTCCATCAATAGCACACAAGTGCTCAATGAATAATACTGAAATGGTTAGCAAATCACTTGTTAACTATTCTACCAATTCTGTGAAGATTGGAAACACGTATCTCTCAGAGATCACGAGCAATAACATGGTCGTCGCGGTTATGTCGGTACACTTTTGCGTCCAGGCGCCTATCAATGCCAGTTTATGCCCTGTTATGTGCCCCTGAACGGCATTCCTGCCTTGATTTCCTACACAGTATTGGACATAAACAGCCAGATCAATCAGTGACGTTTCACATACGATCCCCGATCTGGACTTAAGGGCATACAAGTATAGCTTTCCTTGGCGGACAGCTTAACTCTACTTCACGATGGGCACGGCATCGTCCTCGGAGGCATATTTGGCAAGTACATAAGATTCACAGCTTACGTAAGTGCAAAGTGCACCAGAGGTCATCACCTTAACTGATCATGAAGGGGCCATTCATCCCTCAAAAAGAACTCGTTTATTGGCGTGTGTCAATTTACAACGATTTTATATCCATAACTTGCCAATGATCCGCATTCATTGCCGCGAAGCTGCAAACACGGCACTTGGCGTAAAAGCCCTTCGGGTTGGCAGCCTGTGTTTGGAGGTTTCATAGCGACCAAATATTTTGCGATAGAACATCGATTTTGCTATCAGTCTGCAGTGCATAGAATCTACTACGTGCGAAATAAAGCAAAAGAAGATCCTATAAATATATGGGAGGTCAGGGAGCCAGATGGCGACGCTTACTGAACAGGGCGTTTACGAGTTGATCGCTGAACTTATGCAAACACATGACGATAGACCAAGAAATTGCGAGAAACCACTTTTGGGCCATTTAGGTTGAAAAAACACGATATATCCGGTCGTGCAGCCTGCTGATGCGGAACACGATACACGACACAGTGGAAGGGGCAAAAACCCGTGTAAAATGACTGAATGTGGGAAGAAGATAGTAGCAAAAGCCGCAAACGTCAAAGCGACGTTTCCCCTGCGGCTTCGTACAGGACAAACTGGATGCGGTCAGTCACTCATCCACGACATACTTCTGAAGGGTGGACCGGAGATATAAAGCGACAGAAGGTCCAGAAACTAGGGATCAAAAAGATGTTAGAGAGCTTAGACTCGCCGTCTCTAAATGGTCTGTTGTCTGTCACAAGCGTGACAAATGCCATCATGGGCGACAAGCCATACTCAACCTGTTGTGGAAATGACGTAATGCTGGCTTTTATGCTGGTCCTAGTGGCGATTCCAGTTATGTAAAGTTCAAGCCACAGAAAATGATTTTTTTTCCGGGAAACGTAATGTTGTGGAAAATCATCAGGCCTGATGATTTGATGATCACAGATCCAGCTTTCCGCACAAGCATAGTTGCCGTCAGCGGTGAGCTCAACCGAGAAAAGTGCATCAAGGAGAAAAACTGGTCGCCTTTTATGCGAAACATCTCCAGAAAGATTGTGCGGTATGGTCCGACCTGGCAACGGTCCAACAGTGGGTGCACTGCCTGTGCCCCTCACGGAGCTGGTCATGCCGTGCTTCAGGGCGGCTGACTACTCCTCTGCTCTGCGTCGCAAGTGCGTCAGCTGAGGTGTACGTGGGGTACCATGAGCCCACAGTTGAGGGAAGGAGGTGGAGTGGCTTCATCGGAGCATCAGCTGATCACACGCACCCGACAGGTTATCAGATCCAAGGACCCGCAAGAGCCGCACAAACTGATCCAGCACCTCCCTGCGCACGTGCACTAAGCTAACCGACAGCACCTTCGATCTACTGTTCACTGAAAACACGCGGTAATGCATGGCACCAGTTCCGAAATAATGTTCAAATTGTGCCTTTCTCCCCATTCTGCATGAGTTTACGCCAATTTCACCTTCGCCCAGATTTTAAGTGATCATCCGTCATACGCCGAACACGTTTCGGACTGGATGGTATTGTGTAGCGGGTGGGTACTATGTTCGAAAATTTTGACTTGTGAAGCCTGTATGCATTGTGGAGTAACGGTGTCTGTTATGAGTCACGGCGAATAAATACAAGTGGTGTAAGTCGCGAGTGCCTCCTGTTTCTCTGTCCTCTTGATCCTAAGAAAATGGCGTCCTTTAACGCACAAGTGGTTCGTGACATTGCCACAAAAGCTGCGCAAGGCAACTCTGGCGTTTCCAAAGCTTCTATTGTCCGTTACCTCAACGATATTACATTGACCCGAATGATCGCTAACAATGTCTTGAAGCGTTTGGAGACCAGAGGGCATGCTCGGCATACCGGAGACGGTGGAAAGCCGGTGAACATGACGCAAGGACGCGGGGTGACGGCTGGTGAAGAAGACTGAAGCATATTGCATCGCTTGCCAGCAAAGTATTTTCGCCCATCACGGTCATGTCAAGAAATACTATAGGGGGAACGTAACAGCAAAGAAAGCTAGCAAAGGCGCGCGAAGTTTCTCGAAATCAGAGCAGGCGTTGGAAGACACGCATCCGTCGCTTGTCCAGAGGGCCGATGTCAAGCAGGCAGGCCAAAGACATCGCGATGGACGAGTCCCACTTCACCTGTTCTGGCGACTGAATGCCGGAATTTCCGGAGTTTTATACACTCGCTGGCGGAAATACCCTCCCTAATCAGACTCAAGGAAGAAAGCAAGTGCCCAAACAAGCTGAAGGTGCGACCCGTTATCAGCCCACGTGGATGATCGTGTTGATGATCACGTGGACGATTACCCAGCCCGTGATCATGCAAACCAGGAAGAATGTGGACGGGCCAACATGCCGTCAGAATCGCGCGCAAGAGATTCTCTCACGTTGTCTGAGAATTCACTCATGTGATAACCAGCACATCTTCCGGCCAGATCACACAAGACACATAATGCACAGGGGACGCTGCCATTGCTTCAAGAGGTCCGCGTGCAGTTTTACCGAGACAAGAGGAACCAGCGCTACACTCTCCAGCTCCGAACATGCTGGATCTGATCAATGACCCAATGTATGCGGAAGACTGGCAAGCACGACCGGACGAGCAGTTGAGGGCCAGGGTCCCACAAATCACCGGCAACTCAGCCCAGAGGTGCCGCGGAAGACGACGGAGAAAGCCGCGCACGTGCGTCTTGCACATAAATACGGTGCCACAACGCTGTGGGCCTGATCTCATCGTACTCTCCATTAGGTACAGCTCATTTTTGAACATTTTAATTTTAGCTTCCATGGACGACATTTACTTTCCATAAGAACTTGCACGTCATCCGAAGGCATAACACTCACCCGTTACGGTCGTGTTACAAAGCTACATTTGCCGTCCATTACGGACGGTGGTTCTTTAACCAATTGTTTAACTGCTTTTAGCTTCGGTGCAACATTCCGAGGACGGTGGTAAGCCCAACGGTGGGCTAAACTTGACACGGTGACGGAAACATGCAGGCGGTGAACCCAGCCGCCGAGCTGCTCTTTATTTTGCCATGCCCAACAGGTCTGCTGAGTCCAACTGTTTAAGCAACTTAGCCATCGATTTCGCTCCACTGTGAATAGTTCTCTTGATCCAGTGGAAACGAGCGACTTCTCCATGCGGACTGGCCGAAATAGCCCACTGGCCAAACCCGGCGACTACAAAAATGTGCACTGGTTGACGAAGCTGGTCAGAACCACCACGGTTTAAACCACGCGAGGTCTTTCGTTCACCAGCCTTGATTGCGGCTGACCGATGGCCCACCAAACACTGTTCCAACTGCGGCGGGTCGAGTGGATGGCGTAGCGTCAGCTTCCACCAGCTCCGCGCAGCCAAGCAGCGTCCCGGCCGCACCGCTCACGGGACCGGCGCGGCGGACGGCCGGGGCGCCGGAGCAGCAGGGACAGGGCCCGCGCGCGGGCGCGGCGCCGCCTACCTTTGAGCGGGTCGTGCGGCGGGACGGGCGCGAACAGCAGCTGCGAGAAGGCCGCCTGGTAGCCCTGCGACTCCTCCACGTCCCGGAAGTGGGCGTCCTCCACGCCGTCGTCCTCGGCCTCGGGCAGCTCGAACAGGCCAATCAGCGCCTGCAGGATTGGACCCCTGCCGGCCCAGGCACCAAAGCTGAACTGGCATTCTACAAGCACCGGCTGTTTCGCTTAATAGATCATGCATACGAAATTCAATTACACACATGGAAAAATGATGAGTTACGCCTCATACAAATCGGGTGCTAACACCGGCCTCTCCAGAAGCCTAGCAGTAACGATTCGTAGCTGTCTGTCGGGTCCCGGCCCCGTGTGGGCCTTGGTCCTCACATGGTCCCCAGCAGTCTTTCCGGTCCCGGCCCCCATGGTGGTCCGGACTCTCACACGGTCATCCAACAGCCCGTTGGGTCCTGGCCCCTGTGGCGGTCCGGGCCCTGACTCGGCCCTCAAGCAGTCTATCGGGTCCCGGCCCCATGACGGCCTGGGCCCTCAAACAGTCCCCCAGAAGTTTGTCGGGTTCCGGCCCCTGCGCCGGACCGGGCGCCGACTCGGCCCGGGTCGGTAGCCGTCCTCCGTGCCCCGGGGCCCGCTCAGAGCCAGCCCGTACCAGTACTGGGTGTACGGTCCGTCGAGCAGAGCCGGCGTGTCGCACAGCAGGTTGACCATGCCGGCCGTGCACACCAGCTTGTCCTGCGAGCCCGAGATCTTCTGCGCCTCCAGCACGATCAGCCGCTCCACAACCATGCCGAACATCCTGCGGCGCAGGCGGGCGGGTGCAGACCGACGGGCCGCCGGCGACCGGTGACCGGCGGTGCCGAAGGCGGGCGGCCGCCGGCACAGGCAGACAAACGACAGGCGACGGCACAGCACAACGGAGACGGCGCAGGACATCGCTACACTCGGAGAGCCTTAAACACTGTGGACCGAGCTGTGATAAAATGCGGTTGGCACGGAGCGCCAGCAGGTCATCTGTTCGACAGATAGCCTCGGTACATCCTAGGAGTGCGGTCTACCTCGCCCTCCCCAAGGAGTCATCCCCCACCTCACCCCCACCAGACCCACATTCCACGCTAATCGTGCATCTTTCTCCCCACACGTCACCCACTTGGCTTGTACGGCGTCAATGGTCTCCACCAGTTTCTGGCCACCCCGAAGGTGCGCGAACAGGAAGATGAACACCAACAGGCTCTTGACGAACTTGACCGTCTTGCTGCTACTCAGCCGCTGGAAGAGCAGGAAGAACACCTGCCGCGTGTAGGGCTCCATGCTGGACCTGCCGGCACGCAGTCAGTGATGATGATGACACGCTACTGATGGCGCATTGGTAGCGCACCGATTCTCGGGTCCATACACCCGGGTTCAAATCCGGCACATGGCGCGATATTGTAGTGGCGCCATGGCGGCAACCATCGCGTGAGAGGAGGCGCCGGCAGTGAGCGCGCCTATGCGGCAGTCGCTGACCAATTCGGCGCTCGATGCGGTGACCTCACAAATGGGGTCATCGGTCAGCTGGTGGCCTGGCGCTGTCGCAGTGCGCGCTCCTCCAGGCCACACGGCTTGTGACTGCGGCAGGTAGACCGAAAGCGTGGGGATGGGAGGACTGAGTCAAGTGAGAGGAATGCAAAAAGTGAACTTGGTCACTGCGGTCTGTCGCGAAAAACAGCAGCACGCGCTTGGATGACGAATAAAAACAAAATATACCGACTTGAACGGTGGATAAAATCAAAAGTGAATTTCCCGTCAATCATGGCAAAAACGGATTCGCGCTCACACCTGGGATGCCAGGCAGCGCGGTGCTGACCTGGACAGAGGCTGGCAGCAAAACTGACAGCGGGACAGCGGCCTCAGCAGAATCATACTTACTCTGGCAGCGCTTCGAACAGCGCGCTGACAATAGCAAAGCCGTGATGGTCGTTCACTCTGCTGGCTATCAGCTTTTGGAACACGCCGAGCAGGGCCGGCTGCGGAAGACAGACCCGACGTAAGACAGGGAGCACGGCGAGCGGCGGAACACAGACCCGACGTCAGACAGGGAGCACGGCGAGTAGCGGAATACAGACCCGACGTAAGACAGGGGGCGCGGCGAGCGGCGGAACACAGACCCGACGTCAGACAGGGAGCACGGCGAGCCGCGGAACACAGACCCGACGTAAGGCAGGGAGCACGGCGAGCGGCGGAACACAGACACGACGTCAGACAGGGAGCACGGCGAGCGGCGGAACACAGACACGACGTCAGACAGGGAGCACGGCGAGCGGCGGAATACAGCTCTGCACGGGGAGAGGGGATAGCAGTACAGTTCCCGCCTAAAACAGCGGGATGAGGGCTGAGGGGTGAGGAGTACCGCAGGGAGTAACGCAGCACAACCGGCCGGCGCGGGAACCGGGACCGGGAACGGCAGTGCAGGCTGACGCGAGACGGGGAGCACGGGGCAGCACCAGAGCACAGCCCCACGCACGGAACGAGGACGGTAGTACACACCAGACGTAAGCAGAGAGCACACACAGACCGCACGCCGAACACGACCCCTCAACGTATCACGACCGTAACGCATTCGTAATCTTATCCATGGCTGAACAAGCACGTGAGATACTCGCACCCAAGAAATACGAAACATCCAAGAAAAATGAAATGGCTTAAAACACGAATGTCTTGTAGCCCGGTCTGGGCAACGTCGGTGACGAAATGGACGTTCAGCAATAGTGCTCGATTCGACTTGATCCATACCTGATGACAAGTTTCTTTCTATCGTCCCGGCAAGTTTCTTCCTATCGTCACAGCAAGTTTCTTTTTGTCGTTACGGCAAGCTTCTTTCCATAATCACGGCAAGTCTCTTTCCATCGTCATAAAGGATGCGGGTCATAGAACCCTTTAGACATAGCCGTCCGTGCTTCGGCAGCCCATAACGGTACACGCATTGGACGCCAAGATGTGCAAATCTGCGCATTCGGGATGTTCCGTGAGGTTCGCCTAATATTTGTGGTGTCTGATGTTCGGGGCAGGCCATTTTATAACCCCACAATCAGAGCGGGTAACCGTAACCCTCCGCCTTATCCGCCCGCTTCGCGCAGATAGCATCACACTTAGCCCCCAACCCAATACCGTGCGCCATGTGCTGAGATGTGGAAGCTCGGATGGTTCCATATTTTGGTATATGTTTAACGGATTCTAAGGTTCTACAGCGATTCTAAGCGTTTTCTGTCTTCGAGTGTCCTGACTTTAGGTGCAATATATTCGTCCAGCCTTGTTCACAAGTGACTAGGAGCACAGCTTTCACATAAGTCTATCCCTCCATCGCGCACCAACCTGTCCCTTCTCTCCACACCAGCCTGTTCCTCCTCCTCCTCCTCCTCCTCCTCCTCCTCCCCCCCCCCCCCCCCCCCCCACCAGCCTGTCCCATCGCTTCGCAGCAGCCTGTCTCTCCTCCCCTGCACCAGCCTGCCCCGCCTCTCTACAACAGCCCGTTCCATCATTTCGTAGCAGCCTGTCTTGCCTCCCCTGCACCAGACTGGCCCTCGGCTCCTCACCAGCCTGTCCCACCACTTCGCGGCAGCCTGTCTGTCCTCCCCTGCACCAGCATGCCCCGCCTCTCCACCACAGCCTGTCCCACCGCTTCGCAGCAGCTTGTCTCTACTCCTCTCTACCAGCCTGTCCCTCGGCTCCTCACCAGTTTGTCTCGTCGCTTCCAAGCAGCTTATCTCTCCTCTCCTGCACCAGTTTGTCCCTCGGCTTCTCACCAGTTTGTCGACGCGCAGCAGGGCCTGTGGGTCCCGGCGCACGCAGCCGGTGATGAAGCGCACCAGCGGCGGCACGTTGCCCGTCTTCTCCCAGAGCACGGGCGCCAGAATGTGCGGCAGCAGCGCCTGGTACGGCTCCGGCACGCTCGTCTGCAGCTCCAGCATCACCGACAGCAGCTGCGGCAGGAGGGACAGCAGCAGGTGAGGTGCCACGACCACGGGATGACGTCTGTCGCTTCATCACAGATGCGTGACGTCAGGGGACGCGTGGCAGCCTATCGCCAAAGGCAGGAGCCGACGAATTGCGGCGGAGGGCGCGGCGCGGCTTCAGCATCCCACAGAGCGGTCAGCGCGGCGGCGTTAAGCCAGAGGACGTACCGTCCCAAACAACGGGGACAGAAAACAACCGCGCTGTGCCTCACAGCTGGAAAAGACTGAAGCAGCCCGTAACGCAGCCGTTGCCAGAGGGCGGGGCTGCGGCGTTCGGCCGGCTGCCAGATCGGCGGCCGCAGCAGTTGAGCGCATTCATCGCCCTGAGGCCGTACCTGGAACACGTACGGCACGAACTCTTGCACGTCCTGCTGCAGGATCGTCTGGAAGGTGGGGAACAGCACGCTCTCGAAGGTGGCCACGGCCGACGGCTGTGCCTTGCACACCACCCTGTCGGCAGACGGAGAGGCGGTCGTTAGCATCGCTGCCGCCCCGCCGCCGCCGCGGTGCCAGGTGTGGCACGCGCTGGCAGCCAGCGTCGGTCAGCCCCGCGCGCGATAGAGAGGAGAGCAATCGGAGCCTCGTAGCAGGTACAGTACATTCAAAACGGATAGCTTCACTGGGCACCGCCCACTGTATCAAAAGGATCCCAGGATGAAAAACGGAGACATACGGCGCTTACCGTGCAGGCCATGGCACAGCTAAATGTCACGCAGGAACTATAAACTGTGACGATACAGGTTACTTACGCTTCACAAGAGCCATACTCGTGCCGTCATCAGTCAGAGCGCAAACTATTTGTTAGTAACGACGCCGACTTCTATGTGGGGAGAGGGATATGACTTCTGGCTGAAGCAGCAGCCCTGAGAGCTACGATGTCAACTGTAGTCGATATCGCTCTGTCCCAGTTAGCGTGTCGCGTACTCTTAAGAAGCGACACGCACCGCACACTCTCAACCGGCGCGGCTCATCAGGGCTGAGCCGTACCGTATGGAGAGGGCAAGCGTCTCGAACAAGTAGTGGTTGAAGTGCGGCTTGCTGGGGTTCTTGGAGACCTGCGTCAGGATGCCGGTCAGCGTGGGCAGCAGGGTTCCCAGGTGCGGCACGGCTGCCTCCTGCAGCGCCGAACACGTGCGCATCACGGCTGAAACGCACACCGACGGCTGTCAGCGACGCATGGCCGGTCATCAGCGTACAGCCGCCGTAGCGGCCTCGGGTTTTTGGCCAGTAGTCCCCTCCCCCCCCCCCCCCCCCCCCCCCCCTCCACAAGCTCGTAGTTTTTAGTCCGACGGACCGAGCCTTCAGCGGACGGCGTTCGGGCGGCGCAATCCGTTTGGAACGGCATCATCGGCATACGACGGCCCAGAAATGGACACAGATTCCGCCAAGGCAGATCACACGCAGCGCTTTTGAAGTAGCTTATTGCCAGGCTGGAGAGCAGCGTAGTCAGTAAAGGTTTATGTGCTGGGGAGACGGAGACTGGGGAGACTGGGGAGAGCCGCTCCAGGTCAGGCGCAGAACGCCACCGCGCCAGACCACGTGCCGCCCGGCGGGAGCGCACACAAGCAAGCAGCACGACTTATGACGTGATGGGACCAATAAAACCCCGCTCCAACGACACCTTTGAACGGGAGTCCTGTCTCTCCAAACCCGCCCGGCCTCGGGACGACTGTGGTCCGGCGGTACCCCAACGCGACCGCTGTCGGACAGTGGAGAGGGTCGAGTCCTGCGCGAGGCTGGCGTACCTTTCATGGCATACTCGTTCTCCTGCGACGCCGGCAGACTGAAGATGGACACCAGATTGGCGAACAGCTCGCCGGCCAGCGGCGCCACGTGCTGGCTCTGCACCCTGTTCGAAAGACCGGGGTCACGCAGGCACAATGACGGGGAAATGGGACGTGGGTGCGCAATGTAGTGTACACGCGGACAAACATAGCGCGTGTATGCACTGTTTCACAGTGAGATGTGTTTCTAACTGGCCCATCATAGACACACTGACAGGTACGGACCGCGACGGCCAAGAATTCACATACTCAAATGCCAAACACACGGGGTCGGCGAATACGCGGCGGCACTTGCCACGCATTCAAAAGGAGGCACAATGCTTCTCCGCATTTCGAGACGACAAATGACTACCAAACCCCAGGCTGCTCTGAGCCATGTGCAAATACTTAGGCTACACCGAAAAGTCAATGTGAATAACGTGGATATTGTTCTGAATTCAATTTAAGGAGTTAATACGGCACATGATTTATTTGCCACGATTTTAGTGAAGTGAATGATACGTTAATGTTTATCGGAGGTTGTCCTTAGTGTGCAGCACAGCTGAGCTCAGCCGATCGCTGTCCCTCAGCATCCACGTGCCACTTTTAAAACCCCCCCCTGTCTTCATTTCATTAGTCATCCATTTAGATGCGCGATGCCAAGACGTCGGGACCGATCTGACACGAACTCTCCCATACATAGCAGTGAAATGTCCATCCCTCCACCGGGTCAGGCTACTCACAGGGGCGTCTTGTCGGCACTGCGCACCGTCAGCACCCGCTCGAGCGCCATGGCCGCGTAGCTGTGTACGACGGCGGCCGGCGCGCGCAGCAGCGCCGCCAGGTGGGGCAGCGCGCCGCGCACCAGCTCCGGCGCCAGCTGGCCGCGGAACGCCATCACGTACTTGACGGCGTCCGCCTTCAGCACGGCCGACTGTGCCAGCTGCCGGTCCTGCGGGCGGTAACGGGAGCGGACACTGACGTGGGGGGGGGGGGACACTGACGGGGGGGGGGGCGGACACTGACGGGGGGGGGGGGCGGACACAGACGGGGGGCGGACACTGACGGGGGGGAGCACACACTGACGGGGGGCGGCCACTGACAGGGGGCCGATGCTGACGCGGATACAAACGGGGTGCAGATGGAGCGGACAAGCGGCTCGTCCAAGATAGAGACGGTGATGCGCAGAGTGCACGCAGATGCTGGAGTCGCGTAGCGTAGCTTTTCACAGCGTTTTCAACGGCAGCACCAAAAGATTTCCCGAAGCGACACCCAGCTCTCAAACCGCCGCTCAAACACCAAACCCTTCTATCGGAGCACCACCCGCTAAAGGACAAGCTTGCCTCAACTTAAGACCGGCTGTTAAACCCAGCCGAGCCAGCCGGGACCCCTGATCCCAGTCGAGCCCGCCGCGGGGCGCGAGCGCGTCACATCACACCACATGGCGCCGGCGGCGGGCGGCCAGTCACCTGCAGCTCCGGCAGGATGTGCGTCTGGTAGAACTCGTCCAGGTTGACGAGCGCGCTGGTCTGCGTGACGCCGTGCTTCTGCGTGGAGCCCTTGGCCGCCAGCGAGGTGACTAGGTAGATGGCCGCGTCCTTGTGCTTCCAGTTGGCCGTCCGGTTCTCGGCCGACTTGGCCAGCATCACCTGGCGGCCAATGCTGGTGTCGTAACTTGGCCGCGGCTCGGCCGACTTTTGGCGGGGGGCCGTGGGTTCGAGACTCCACGCATCCGCTCTTCCAACACGATCGACGTGAATCGCCAAGATGACGGCCAAACCATCATATGAGTCATGCAATAATTTATATGCATGCCACTATCACGCCTGCTGATCCCCACCAGCCCAAGATCTCCCAATTTTCCACCGCGAGCAGATGTCATGCATCATACAGTTGCAGACATGTGGACCGAGCCCCTTCCCTCCCCTCAGCGGCGACGAACGGCCGGGCGGCGCTCACCTGCACGTATTGTGAGAACTCCTGCGTGATGCGCTGCTCGAAGAGCCGCGACAGCGACTTGACGAGGTCGCAGGCGGCGCGGCGGCGCGTGTCCACGTCCGAGCCCTCCACATCTCGCCGGATGTACTCCTGCGGGTTGTCCTCGAACAGCTCCTCGTCCGACACTGCGGCGCGCCAGCCGGTCAGCGCCAGGGGGCCGGGCAGCGGCATGGATGGGGCAGTGGCAAGGACGGGGCAGCTGAGGGTGTGGGCAGCGGCAGGAACCAGACAGCATCAGCCTTTCAGCCTGTCTGGAGAACGTGCCAGGGTAGTATGTTGGGGAAGGTCTCGGAGCACACACATGAGGGCGCATACGCAGGTGTCACAGGAGGGCATTAGAGGACTGTGCTGAAAGGACGCTGTCGGTCTGGGAGGGACGTTTGGTGGCCAGTATGTCAGGAGCTCAGCACCAGGTGCAAGATGAGGCTAACAAAATATCCCGCTCCAATGCAGCGGTCGCCGACCACTCGGCCACTGATAACGACACATCACGAAAGCAGCACCGGGCGACAAACCGCACGGACGCCAGGTCCGGTCAAAACAAGACCTCCTCGGGAGGACTGCTCCAGCACGTGATCAGCATTGAGACCCGGCAGTCGAGTCGTCGTCGGCCCCGCCGGTGCGTCCCGTTAATGACCAGCGCCCGCCGGTGTGCCCCGTTAACGACCCCACCCCGCTGGCCTGCCCCGTCAACGACTCCACCCCATCTGCCACAGTCAGCGGCCCGCCAACCCCATTGTATAATACCGCGCGCGGCTATTGTGCGACGGCGCGGCGTCGCATTGCGCGGCGCCGTGCCGCGAGCCGACCGCGAGTCTCTCGGGTTACCGACCTCAGTGGGGCGGGAAGCCGCACCGCGCCCGAAAACAGGCGGCCGCCGGTCCCCCGCCCGCTGATAAACACCGGCGCGGCGTGCGGCCGGGCCGACTTGCTCGGGGCTGAGCCCCATTTTTGACTCCGGAATGGACTGGGATCGTTTGTCTTCGGTACAAAGATGAGCGATCACCACCGAAAGGCAAGAACCTTGTCCGAACAATGTGTAACTACGTGCGTTGGGAGACGTTTGCTGGCTTAGAGACGCGACGATGCATTTACTGAATGGTCAGCCCTCCAGGGCAGCACCTGTCCTACATTGTACCACCCCGATCCTCCGGTGACGGCGCGTGCCGTCCACCGCCACCGCCCACCTCTAAACTCCATGTTCGGCACGATGATCTTCTCGCAGATGGAGGCGAGCGCGCCCTCAGCCTCGAACAGCTGCTTGTAGTGCGGCCGCTCCACCACCGACGACAGGAACTGGATGGCGTTGCTAACCAGCTGGAAGCGAATAGAGTCGGGCTGGGTCGACGGAACGAAAAGCAGACGCCGGTGCTAAAGGTGACAGCGACTGCGGGTAGCCGAGAGCTTGCTCAGGCACGGCCGCCCAGATCGCGAAACTCAGCCGGTGGTTCGGCAATACACGCAGACTCAGCGACTACTGCCTTGCCCCATCTCCCATAAGGCCAATGTTCTTGTACCCACCAGATCGTAGTCAACCTTTGCATCCGACGTCAGGTCCCGTCAAAATCCCGAGGACTGGATTATCAGACGTCAAAATCCCGACGAAGACTGCCTACTGTATGCGCTCACCACGTGTGCGCACACAGCTGCCTGCTTCATTACACCCACCATGCCTGTCACACAACACCGTCCGCTGAGCTCCACTGGCCGCGTCGCGGCGCGCGTCTGACCGTTTCGTCCCATCCAGTAGACTGTGCGTCAGTCGGTCTCGCTACACCCACCGCGTCGCCTGACAGCCCGGCGCGTTGCACTCACCAGGTCATACTTGACCTGCATGCCCGTGTTGGCCAGCAGCGTCCAGACGGCCTGCACGAAGCGCGGCAGGTACGGCCGGAACTCCTCGTCGTACTTCTGCGCGTACAGTGTCACGTTGTCGCAGATCTGGGTGCGCAGCAGCTCCAGCGGACCCGCCTCCTCCTCGTCCTGCGCGGCCGGCGTCACGGCAGAGGGGAAAGCCCTCAGGTCAGCAGAACGCACCGCACCGGCCGGTCATGGGGATGGTGTCAGTCAGCACAGGACGCGTGATGGTCTGCGGCGAAAACCGCACAGGAACGGTAGGGGGACGGGCATCACGTGACGGGTGATGGTCGCTGGTCAACGACACAGAGCGGACAGCAACGGGGCTCGATCTCTTCGCATGGTCCTGCAGCACGGCCGTCGCATGTTTGGGGCAGAACTTGGCTCCGGCGAGCCAAGCACAGACTGAACACGCAAACATGCCAGGCTTTCAGACCATTTTCTGGCATGTGCCGAGTAAAAATAACGTAATATCGGGTCTACTCATGCGCGGGGTATCATGATTCCAACTGAAATCATTTTAAAAATACGAAATGCCTACCACTGTTCAGGGCAGTGCCAGTGCCAATGAAGGAAAGATATACAGTCAGCCTGCAGCCAGCTACAGCCACCATTTGGTAAATCCCCGAGCAATGTCACCGGGGAAGGCATCCCGACGTTAGTGTTTCAAGCACAACTCCTGACATTTTCGAGTTCCATAAATTGTCCTTGCGACGGTCACTTTTTGTTCCTTTTTGCAAACGAAGGAACACAAAAAAGAACACAAAAATCAAGTCTTTACACGATTTTGATGCAGAAGGTGAATCAAAAGACCAGCAAGACTCCCGGCGTAAATCTATGGTTAAAGCAGTAGCGCACCTCGCAATATACTATACATCACCTCGCAATATTACTATAGATCACCTCGCAAAGCCATTTCCTTGTCAATATCGTTGGAGGTTTATAAAACATTCAGCTACTGAGGCCATATGGCGTCACCCGCCTTTCACCCTGGCAGGAAGGGCGGGCACCGCAAGCAGAGTAGCTCCGTACGTCTAGTCTCCCAGAAGGCCACTTCATCTGACCACTTCTTCACTTCAGACCACTTCATCTGAGGTACTCAATTCAATTTCTTTACAAGTGCTGATACAAAAAAGGTCAGTTTGACCGATAGTGTGCCAAACAACCGGCAGTCGCATAACGCAAAGCTGGCTGACGCAGCGACCAACAAGCTTACATCGGTCTGCAGTAGTCTGTTGTCCAGTTCAAGGAGCTGCAGAAATCTGGGCATCCACGTCTCCATGTTGTCTTCAAAGAACTCTGGCAGATCCTGGAATGCAATCATGATGTTGTACAGTGAAACCGAACGCGCACGATGAAGCACGTAGTAAGCGCATGCAGAGCCCCTGTAATCGGAGCTCGCTCGTCTTTCGGTTTATATATTTCCATGAGCACTGCTACGTAGATTGGGCGCAAGTATGGGCTCCAGCGGTCATATGTTGAGATCACACACCAATGATCATGCCTCAAATGGTCTTGATTTGTCCCCAAACATCAGGTAAGCATCAGGTCCCCTCATTCGTAAGAAAATTCTCCATACGCGCGTTAAAGTAAGGCACTTCAATCTATCAATGAGCCCAACAAACCCACTTACTGACGATGACTAGAGACAGTGCTTTGGCAGTGCAGACCTCTTCGCAACATCCCCACGTCCATGCCACAGGCCACCCGCACCATAGAAGGGAGGGAGGGATGGGGAGCGGGCCGAAACATTCTAGCCATGGGCACCTGGTAGTTGAGGGAGTAGAAGAGCTGGCAGATGAGCTCCAGTGACGAGCAGATGAGCTTCATGGCGGTGGCGTTCGTGGCGTGCTGTTCCGCCAGGCCCATGGTCGCCTGAGGACGGACGGCAGCGGCCATCGTCAGCCGACAGCGCACACCGGAGCGGCAGTCGGCTCGTGTTCAGTGTGTGATGTCTGCGCATCGGTCTGAGTGTCCGGGCGGCCGACCTCAGCCGACAGCGCACACTGGAGCGGCAGTCGGCTCGTGTTCAGTGTGTGATGTCTGCACATCGGTCTGAGTGTCCAGGCGGCAGACGTCAGCCGACAGCGCACACCGGAGCGGCAGTCGGCTCGTGTTCAGTGTGTGATGTCTGCGCATCGGTCTGAGTGTCTGGGCGGCCGACGTCAGCCGACAACGCACACCGGAGCGGCAGTCGGCTCGTGTTCAGTGTGTGATGTCTGCGCATCGGTCTGAATGTCTGGGCGGCCGACGTCAGCCGACAGCGCACACCGGAGCGGCAGTCGGCTCGTGTTCAGTGTGTGATGCCTGCGCATCGGTCTGAGTGTCTGGGCGGCCGACGTCAACCGACAGCGCACACCGGAGCGGCAGTCGGCTCGTGTTCAGTGTGTGATGTCTGCGCATCGGTCTGAGTGTCTAGGTTCCAGCACCGGCCAAATGACGAGGTCACATGTGCAATGTGTAGCTGACAACCACGATTTATAAATAAAAATACCAGTTGTATGTACTTTATGTGGTTTCAAGATTTTTGTGTCACTGGTCACCATAAAGTGGTCCCTTGCAGATGTACAGTAAATCGATTAATCGATGACTCTGAACTGTGTACAACTATAGCAAACAGCTGAGCACAGATATGAGACACATAAATGCAACCACTCGCTTAAATCGTGTTTAAAGCAAACCTGTGCTGAAAATGATGCACAGCTGCAGAATATAAAATCAGATGTTTCAATCAAACTTGAATTAAAGCGAGAAAAGCCACATGCTATGTTGTCATCTGATCTTAGCGCAAGCCCCACAGCTTGGAGAAGGTAAGGCAGATAACTCCTGACACACATCATGCAATATTGGGTCTTCTTTGAGGACGGACATTTGAGGACGGACAAAATGCTCCCGTGCTGTGTGCGACTCTGTTCCTCGCAAGAACCACACAAGCTTGGTGGAGGTAATGGAGTGAACTCGTAAAACACATCACTTGGCATTCATCCATTTGCATCGACTGCTCATTCCTACCACTAACTTACTACGAAGAGTTCGGTCAGCGGTTTAGCGAAGTTGTCGAGCACAAACTTGATCTCCAGCCACAGCTCGTTTGACTTGAACTCGAATCGGTAGCGTTCGAACAGCGAGTGTGCAGTGCGCAGGATGCCGTTGATCACGTGGAAGTCGCCTGCGGATGGGGACCGGTCCGTGTTCAGTGTTGTCTATACCTGCTGCCTGCTCCGCAGCTCACACCAAGTCAAAATGTGACCTCAGTCAAAGGGGATCACAAAAGTAGGACTGGCGACTAAGATCGCCCAGAGATCACGACAAACCTGGTAGCTCCAATGCCACGAACGCTCAACGACCATATAAATTCGAATACCGCCAGCATTCCGCGCTTTTGGCGGCTAACGTCGCCAGAACTTGGCCACGTGCGTGGTTGCAGCGCCACCGCGGGCCGCCGACCGCCACTGACCGGAGCCGAAGCGGGCCGTGAGGTCGCCGATCAGGTTCGGCCAGCGGTCGGGGAAGTCCTGCCGGCCGATCACCGAGATGGCATCACTCAGCTGGCGCTGCACCTGCTCCGGCGAGCGCAGCATCAGCTCCACGATCAGCTGGCGCGTGGCCGTCCGGTCCTTCTCCGACACGTGGCTGTTGCCGTCCTCGTCCTGGGGGCGGAGGCGGCCCGGCCGGTCACGCGCCGGGTCAGACCACCACTCAATACAAGTTGAGCGTCAATTCGATGACGCGGGACAGTCCACCACTCAATACAAGGGGAGCGTCGATTCGATGACCCGGGTCAGACAACTACTCCATACAAGGGGACCGTCAATTCGATGACGCGAGACGGGTCCAATAGACTGTGTCACCACTGTACCGCACTGCCCCACCCCAATGTGTGTGTGGGGGGGGGGGGGGGACTGGGCTGTGGGGATGGAAAGGACGACGCTGCCTCGCAGGGGACGCGCATCCAATACTTAGTGTATTTGACTTCTTCGAATTCTTAAAGCAGTTGCGACGAGATCACCACCGCAGCGCGAGACCTTACCGGTTTCCAGTTCCGTTTGACGAAGTTCTTGAAGGTGATGGCGGCTGAGATGCGGTACGGCAGCTCTACTGAGTTGCTATCCAGCAGATGCAGTAGCAGCAGCGGGTAGTTTTCGTTGCGCTCGATGGACTCCAGAAACTTCTCGGCTGTTACGAGAACAAGAGAATAGTAACCTCCACGTCGCTGGCATCCATTGAGAACCGCCAGGGTTTTAGTACACAAGCATTCTTGCTTTGCATCTGCGTCCGAATACATGTGATGGACAGTTATCACAAAATCTCAGCAACAAACAAACATCTAGAATCAAAGGTCACACAGAAGACAGGCTCGAAACTCGGATTACTAATGGACATCGGTCGACATCATTCTGTCCAAACATCACGCAATATTCCCGACTGAAATCAGTCTGTCAGTGGAAGTGCCGAAGCGCAGTCCGCGAGAGGGGCGGGGGGTGGCCGACTGAGGACCGGCTGCCGCACCGGCCGCCAGATGGCGCTGCTCACCGGGTCTGCGGACGGCCGGGTCCGGGGACAGCGTCTGGCCCAGGTAGCCAGCCAGCGTCTGCAGGTTCTGGTCATTCAGCTCCATCTGGCCACATATAGACAGGATATCATGGAAGTTGACATGTCACCTGTGCAGACACCATCTCAGGAGCCAATCTGTATGATGGTAAGGTATCTGTGTGATCCCAAATGGGTGCCCACAGCCTGTGCTGGAAGCAATGACTGTTCCTATGGCATCACCCATGGACCATGACCACACACATACATGTGCTCCCAGGGCTGTTTCACCCAGTCATTCCTGCAACATTTCGAGGATGGTTGATGACACCATTGCCAACCAGCATGTTCTTGGTACCAGCAGCATTGCAGTATCTAGTACAGCCAGGCCTTAGCACCAAGACAAGAACAACATTTGATCTTTGAACATATCATTGCTCTTTGACAATCAGGGACTGCCAACACTGCTGATGTAAAGTGTGAGTCAAGAAGTTTGCTTATCACAACAAAGTACAGTCAAGCAAACAAACGGCATTGGTATTTGATGGACAGAGAGTACTGTGATGTCCATACCTGGTACTGTGTGGTTATTCAGCCTCAATATCATATAAACTATCAAATGCCAATCCAAAACACTACCGAATCAACTGCGGAAAAGAACTAGTGGAAAAAGTTATTAGATACCAAACAAATGACATCACTAAAACACCAGAAAATGTAATCAGTCAACAGTTGATATAAGGTAGCACACTTGTATACAGTTTTTAAATGCATTTGAATTTGAAATATATGGATATATATATATATATATATATATATATATATATATATATATATATATACAATTATGCTCCCACACCATTAGTCACTTGATTGGTCTCCAGCAGGACTTACAGAAAAGAGATTAAACAAGACTGTCATTTCCCTTACCAAGCATGGCATCATGCATATGTCAGATATTGTGCCCAGCTCTATCTTCTCCTTATGTCCATTCATGTCATTCATCAGCACTACATCCAAGAAAAGCATACAATATGCCCAATGTGTGCTATGCATACTTAAAAACACAGCTTGGTTAAGGCATAGTCCATATCTGTAGTGTCCAACAATGCAGTGAAACCCTGCAGCCATGACTGATGATTCTGACATCACAGGATGGAGACAGTAATGTAAATTATGACCATGGGGGTTTACATTGACTTCTTAGGTTCTTTCTAGGCATGGCCTAGGCCTAATGCAAGTCATATGGGCTTATTACCTATATATGCATAATGATCCTTGTAAATGCACATAACAATTTGTGTTATGTATATCAAATGATTTTAAGCAAAAATATTATCAATACAAGACAACTAATTGGCAAATCCAAAGCAATTTGACAATTGGTCTTGCCCATATTTTGCACCCACATGCTCCAGTTTAAGTGCACTGATGGCATCTGAGCACTCCAAGCAGTTGATGGATTTTTGCAGACTGGTGAAAGGACAAACCTGCAAGGCTGAGATTTGGTCTTCTGTGTGACAAGTCATACCCCAAGTTATAACACCTCAGCAACTCCACGACACTTTAGCAAAGGCCAAACTTTGTTCAAAATGACTAGGGACATAAACATATTATCCAGCATAGATTTCACTCAGCATATTGTGTGTACCCATGTAAGATATCACACATCTTTATAATTATGGTAAGGTCAGTGGTAGCAATAGATATGGTAGGAATTTTGGCTTAGCTCAGCCATAAATTATGAGCTAGATTTGTGTATGCCTGCACAATTTGGCTGTGCATCAATGCAAGTCCTTCAGCATGACAGGTTACGTGCAATGCTGCAGAGTAGATTTGCAACTCAGGCTATTTAATGATAATAATGGGATCACTAGAATACCTTACAGCTTTTCACAAAGCTACCTCACACAAAGGTGCAGGTATTGCCTTACCTTACCTTACCCTACCTTCTCTTATGGTGATCAGGGATTAAATAAGGCTACTAGGCCTGTAGGCCCTGGTCTCATCAGGCTCCCCATAAACGAAAGTCATTTTATGGGTAGATTCAGTGTTGCATGTCATATATATGTCACCCCAGTGCATATCAAGCCTAGACTTGAACTGCTCAACTAGTAAGAACTAGATTTTAACTATTTTTACTAGTAATTTAATAAATTGCACCACAGGACCAACAATTTGTTGCATGATGTAAAACATTGTGCATCTGTCACCCACCCACGTGCATGCTGCACACCAACATTATCAAGACAATTTTTGTGCCAATTTTCATTTACATGTCGCGCACTTCACGACGGGAGCGAGCACGTGCTCCTAGATCACTATTCGCCTGCGACTCTGCCCCTAGCGCTCAGCGTAACATGCTCGCTATTCTATCAAACTATACCTTTGCACACTTCGTGCCTCGTGAGCAGGGAGCGGAAATTCCCTGTGATCAACTTTAAAATGGCGACCACACAGAATACTATTCGTCCAGCCTTCACACTCTCCCCAATCTCAAAACTTCAAATCCCAATGGTGGATTCAAACGACGTGATCGCACTCGTTCGCGGCGATGCTGGCCTTGGCTGTGTCCAAAAATGGGCCGCGTTAAAAACACTCTAGATGTGTTCGAGTAATTGTAGATTCTGCAATTGCCTCCGGTTTTACCAAAAAACACTCCAAGATTTTAGCGACTATTCGAAAGAGTTAGGGAAAGGAATGACGACTGTCGCAGATATGGAAGGCTTGCAAATATGACGCTGCTGCTTCAAAAGCGTCGCTAAATAGTCGTTAGGTAGCCTTGGTCGGGTCGTATGTTTACATCGCGCCGATGCAGCGCGTGTTTCCGAGGAGGCGCGTTGATTGGCGTAACTGACAGGGAACCGCGCTTGGCGGTTGAGCACTTACTTGTTTCGGCGGTGATGCGATTTTATCACCTTAGATCACGTATTTGAATCGCTCAGACACCTTCTTTGCTTCAGTACTGAGTTGATTTGGGTTTTGGAAATGAGTCGGTAACACATTGGCTGTATTAAAACAAACGCGCTTTTGACAGACGCTAGCCCATTTGCCCATGCCTGTAGCTTGTTGCAGTTACTGTTCGCACCATAATGCATTACCCTGTCACCATCACTACGGGTTTGTGAGCATAAGCAAGCTATAGCCTGGCACCGGGAACTCAGGAACTTCATCTAATCAGGTAGGTCACCTAAGTTGAAGGTGTTATGTAATGCCTCTGACCTTAATTGGACAGGTGTTTACTTTTTGTCAATGATTGATAAAGCATGATTAATCTATGTAAAACATGATTCATAATTAATGGCTGTTGGAACATTGTGTCATGATGAAAAAGCTGCTTTGAAGGGCAAAGATTGGTTTGACACAACATGGATGCTTATTTATGGGTTTACATGCTCCACATCCCCTTTAAAGGGAATGTTCCAGTTTCAAGACATCTGAGTAAGTATCAGATATGATGAAGCAAGCTCACTTATAATTATTGGTACATTATTAGGCAGCTAAAATGGCTGTGGGCAACACAATTTCTGTACGTCATGAACATATCCCTTAATAGTGCAATGCTTGATTGTGTTATTATACCTTGCATAATGAGGGCAGGGCTGTGAACTGCACCATATGATCTTTGAGATGGCTATTTCAATTCAAAATTTGTGGGCTGTCTGCAGGAAAATGAATGAAATGTTTCATTCTAGTGGGGAATGTTTTTTGTATTAATTGTAGCATGTGATAAACCAAATTGCTTTTTGCCTGTAACATAGAGTAATATCATAAAGGAAGCTATCAGACTTTGTCATTCTCTGTGTGCTTTTTGGTCTTAGATTTTCTATGGAGAAAACATTAGGAATTAGCCATTTATCATTTCAAATCTGGAGACCAGCAAATGTGCAGTGGAGAACAGATGTAGTTTTCGTACTTCATGCACCATCACCTGCCAGCACAAGTATTCTGCCCTACTGGCAGTGCCTACCTAAATTATATGCTTAAGTCTGGGTGTTTCAGTAGCATAGAACATCATAAAGCTGCCCTTGCCTGGCAACTGTAGGGTTGGTCCCAAATACATGACCCAGGATATTTTGATGAATTTTCAATCCAAAGAGTTACCAAAACATCATGAAGCTTGAGCAGTCTACTCTGGGTTAAGAGGTCTGAAATTTAGTTCCTGTTGTGGGATGGTAATATTGCCTCATTTCCCACATATATGTGGCTATGGTGTCAATACCAATGGCCTTAGCACTGGTAGACACATGCACTGGTAAGCAATCAGCCAGTAGCAAAATAACTATTTGTATAGGTACTAAGTAATGGTATTCACCTAGCTTGTCTGCATGCACACAGTGTCCAGCCTTGGTGAGCTGTTGTCCAATTCTGACTACTCTACAACATGTGGGAGCCAACAACGAACATTGGTCGCCTCCGCTCGCGGTCATATGGAGCCCTCGGTGATCTGCCTGGCACAGGTTTGTATCCTCTGGGTGTTCTGTCTCTCTGCATGTACATGAAGTGTTTTTGCTGGTGGTGGAACATTCTGGTGCATGGGTGTGGGGTTGTGACCTTGTCAGGGGTGAAGCTTCGCAAAATGAGAGGGCAGGGGGAGAAGAACACAGAAATACCAAAAAATGGATTTTGTCTCGGATTTAGCCCCTTTTGTCTCAAAGGGGAGGGTGACTAGAGCTCAAAGGGGGCAATGGAGACTAGAGCCCTCCCTAACTGAATAGGAAACCACAGCTCTGAACCCTATGCTGCATGGGGATATACATTGCTTGTGTAGCCTCTCCTCTCTGCCTTGCATGCTTTGTCTTGGTTCTTTGTGTTCAAGGGGCATTCCATATAACATCGTGCCATGACTGCAGATACACGAGATATTTCTGGTTCACAGTTTACAGCACGATCCATGACTTATAGAGTCACTGTTCATTTAACTTTGCTCCGCGCAAAAAAACTTCACGGCACTATAAACCAGGGTATCACTAATGTCATCTAGATGAGGACCATGACATGTGTTTATGATATATATATATATATATATATATATATATATATATATATGACATGACATATATATGTGTGTGTATACATGACACTGTATATGTACATGCTTGATATTTTTGTACTGGCTGTATATATTCTCAACAAAGACTTGATTGGGACTCGCGGTCAAGTCCGAGTTTCTTTCATCAGTTCAAACTTGTGTCAGGTTTTGTTTCAGTTCAAATTTTCAACAGCTGTTTTCAATCAACTTTGGATTCAGACCCGTGAACTTTTTAGTCTGTATATTGAATGTTTTTAGAATGGTGAAAAATTAGTTCAGACGTGGAGTCAAGCACAAGTCTGTCGGTAGACGTAAAAGTTATCTCCATTTGGTTTGCCGTAATGAGGAAAGCATGAACATAGGATCGCATTGGTTTGCATGACCGGTGTTTGGCAAAGCTGATAATATGCGATACCACTCGGAAGATTGGCCGTTAACCAGTGGTGTGTATTTGGTTTGGTGTCCTTGATGCGGAGAGGTGCATTTCCGAGGACCCAAGCTCCCGCGTTTTTACATCCCTACCGTGCGGGAGGTCAAATCGACTGGACTGTACAAGGATGGAGCGATGGGGAATAAATCTTCTTCCGGACGTTGAAATTCCAACAGGTTGCATTTGTTTCGTATGCCTTGTTCAGAGAGTGCTATAATCGTTTGTGACGCATGGCGGGCTGTCACCATTACAGCGTCAATTCGAATCCAGGTCATTCAGTTGACCCGAATTAAGGTCAGTTGAGGGACTGACCTATCTTCAACAAATGCCTTAAACCCCCACCTATCTCCATCACAGGCAGCGGCTCAGGGACTCCCGCCCCGTCGTCCTTGCCAGTGACGCCACGCCGCCAAGCGGACCAATGGGTGGCCGGCGCGGGCCGCCCCGCCCCCTCGGTTGTGTGCGATCGTGGTCAGCGGGTCAGGCGCAGTGTTCGTCGGCTGCCGTCGGCGCCGGGAGCTCGCGGGGTCGGTGGCGCGCGTGCGGGGTGCACCGCGCTGGCGATTGCTGCGCTAGGACGCGACGCTGTTGTGTAACACCGTTCGACCCAGGTTCGTCGAAACGGGGAAGTACGCCGGGTGGGGCGTGGTGACGTCATTTCCGGCGGGCCGTCCTTGCATGAGATGAGCTTCAACAGCTGCGTCTTCACGTCGTGAATGTCCGTCGTTGAACTGTGGGGCTCTGGCTCTGCAGATTCTGCTTCGTGTTCTAGTGGTGCCGTTTTTTGTGTCATCCCGAGGCTTGAGATTCGTTGCGATGCACTGATTGTTGCTATCTGAAGCTACTGTAGGTACGCTGAGTGGTCCATTGACTGCTGGCTTCAGCTGGTATGCCGTGGACACACGGCGGTTTATTCTGTCACCGACCGAAGATAGTTTATCGTGAACGGCGGATATTGTATAACCCTGATGCATGCTGTGTAGCAATGTGCCGCGCGAATAAGTAATGTTTTAATGCAACACCAAATGCACACCGCCTATATGCTTTAGTTTATCTCGTAGGATATGAAGCGGCATCAGTTTGCCCCGCCCCCTCCCTTCCCCTTTAAATGTGACTCTAGGATCATCAAGTAAAAAATGAAATAAACACATGGAACACTTATGCCTAGCATTGTGCCGCCGCACCATATTGATGCGGTCACAAATCGTGGGCGCCGCTGTCGCCTCGTCATAGTGCCGACGTTGAGTGCGGCACAGGCTCGCCTTACATCCACCCGTGCAAAGCAACTGCTGTCCCGGTGTCCCGATGTCAGTGGCCTCCTCTGAGGAGTGAGCGGCGTACGCATTGGCTTCGAAAGCGCAGCGTCTGCGGGATTGACTCCCGCCGCAGGTAACTGTATGCTCAGGTAGGAGGGAAGTCACAACCAAGGGCAGTCGCGTGTTGGATGCTCCGCTTCAACTCGTTCTATTTTTTCTGGCTTGATGTCACAGATAGAATCGCCTTTCGTATGGGAAAAATGGAGTGGGGTGACTTTGGAATTAGCTCCAGCACACGATACCGCGTATTTGAGCATTTTAAACCTACCATACGCCTCAAACGAGCAAAATAATCGTCCAAAAACAACAGTGGTGGGCACGGCACAAATAATGCTCCAATCCCCAATGCCCAAGCGTTCCTACATGGTACAAAAACCAGGTGCGGTCAAGGACGGTGACTTCTTGCGCCGCCTGATCGATCCCTCACCCCAGGAACGGCCGTCTGAAGTTGGTCCTAGCTGACCCTAGGAACAATGACTCGAATTCCAAGCCGCGTCGTCGATAATCACAGGCAATCATCTCCCACCTGCCGCCTGATGAAGGACGCGGATAATTGGTAGCTGTGGGCCCGGGGATGGCGCACCAGTAGCCGCGGTACGCCGGACTGAGACGTCAAGCGTGACGAATTGAGAGTGGCCTCGTCGAGATATGAGATTAGTGTGTTGTCTGGGGCGGGCAGCGTGGGATGGTCGCGACCAATATGATCCACCCCGTCACTTCTCCGGCGCCAGAGTCATTGCCGACCATGGTGCTACAACTTCGAAGACCGTTGTTGCACGTCTTCGTATTTGGATTTTCCTTCTCCTTTCCTCCTTTTTCTTTGTGGTTTTTTATTCCTTTTAAAGTTTTTTTTGCCCGCTTAATTATGCAGCTGTCACTCTAGTCCCTCTAACGGGCCTATGAAGTGACACCCATATCGCGTATCTACATTTTCTCACCTATAATCACTGCCCAAGTTCATTTCACTGGCTGATACGTGGCGTGCGTAACCTCTCACCCACTTCAGAATATCAGCAACGTTTTTGTTGGGCGACGAGTATTCATGTGCTGGCCGTATCGGCTATGTCTCATGTCACGCGCGTCAAAGATACGAACAGACCCATACCGTGACCTCAATGTTGACCTCGGTGGCACGCCATGGCCTCGGAGTTACAAATAAAGCGGCATGTGATTATTCAGAAAATGCGTTGGAAATCCTCCAGTGAAAAATCCAAAAATGTAATTTCAACAAATTACATACGAGAGAAGGTCGCGAGATCAAAGGGAAAAATGAAGGGAAACAATCAGCGATGTTTGCAGTGAGATCATCTGCTTTAAAATGATCTCCAGCTTTGATCAGATCTAAGCAGCCATTGTATGCATAATGCTTATTTTCTGGTCAATTTTTCCTCGTGACACCCAAGGCCCTATAACAACGTGACACCGAAATTATGTGACCTCCAGCCTGACGACCGATGTAACTTATATGCCAAAAAATCTCAGAGATGTTATGCGTGATGAAGATGATAACGTGAGCCGAATTTCGTCCCATTTGCAGGGGTCACGGGGAACAATTTAAAGTCTGCCTTGGTGATTTGTCCTGAAATAGCCCGAAAGTTAGTGACTGTTGAGAACGGGTTTCAATGGGCACCATATGTGGCGGCGGCAGTCGGCCTGCCTTAGAGCCCAAAATCGTCGTCACGAGAAATGACTCATATGAGGTATTAGTCAGAATGAGCTTACGTTGCTACACCCACGGTAGTTTGCCTCGATTTCAACGATAGATACGATGGTAAACGTCATCCTGACAATGAACATGCTGGGGGCGTCGGTAACTCCTCGGACTCAAACCTACTTGATAGTGAGCACCCGATGAGTAATGAACCGAACTGATCCATGTTGACCGTGCAGTGGTCAGCAGCGGTCCTGTTGGTTGACAAACAATCTGAGTCAGAAATCCTTTACACCTAGGCGATTTTTTGGTTGTTTTTTTTTAGTGTCTACCGTCACGGACTTTCGCCATCTTGCATACCGTAATATTCCGTCCGCGAACATAGGTTTATTAGTTTACACTTCAATCAAACAGATATTTGCAAAAATGTCGACCCAAAAAGCTCAGCACACAGCCCACAATATCCCCACAGGCAGCCACGCCGTCCCACTCAGATAACAACCTGTACAAATAGCCGCCGCCCCACACGCAAACTCCGCAGCGGTGACATGACCAATCGCAGGTTCCTGCAACTTCCGCTAGGCGGCTGAACAACAGAGGTTTAACGTCAACTACGGGAACAAACTTCCAAAACGCCTCAACACTACACATGTCCTTTTCTTCAGAGGACTAGACGTTGATGGCCGCTGTTTAGTTGTGACTTGTGCTTTATCACCTAGTCTACACCTTGCCTGCAGTGACTTCGCGTAACAGATGGTGCGATGGAGCGGTGACCGGTCTCAGTGCGGTCACGTCACCTTCATTACCTTTTGAGACCAGTCCTGCCCCAGCCCCAGAAAATTGCTTCCTGATTTTACACGCGTGTGGTAGGCCCCAATGCCACACGAGCACTTGCTTTTTCGTTCCGTTTGACAGCACTCGCCTTGGGGTTTAAGGTGGTGTGCCCCAGATTTCTTGGCACCATATGACGCGCAGCACGGAGCAAAGGGCAGAAGTTTTCGATTTACGTTGGTGAAGGAGATTTAGCGTCACGACATGGAGACAGTTGAGGCTTTTCTTCAAAACCCAGGACCCCCCTCCCCCCTTGTGCGAAAGTAACTTTGCACCTGCACCAGAAGTTTCTGGGAGACGTGTCTGCGCTTAACCGAAATTCAAGACGAGATAGGAGGGTGCGGCCGAAAAGAACAACGCAGGACATGGCAGAATTCGGATATACCATCTCAAAGGTCCAACCGGAATCCACCCGAAACACGGTCCGCGGGGTTTGTGTCAGTCACCCAGCCGTACACAGATTCTGGTAAACGACCCTTACCATCTCCCCAAGACGTGACTATCCACCTGAAGCTGGGAGCTGACTCCCCACAAGTCAGGGGTGGCCCCTGACCTGGCTGGAGGACCTGACCTGGCTGGGAGGCCACCTCGGAGAGCGCAGCATCAGTTGAAAGGCGGAGGTTACCTGACCGTCTTCCTCTTCGGATCTTCCCCCTCCCCCTCCCGCCATATATGTGGTTCCTGACATGCCACGTTTGCAGGCAGGGTTCTCAGACCCCCAGTGACCCGAGCGCGGTGAAGTGGCGCGCAAGACCACACCTGACAAGCGCGCGCAGGTTATCGGCGAGGCGTGGAGGCGCGTAGACCTCTTCCTCGTTCGAAAAGGGATAACGTAAAGCGCTTGCCCTGAGGAATTCCCGGGATGACCAACAAGTGTGAACGATGCGTGACACATCCTGCGACATCTGGTCAATATTTGGCATCACTGCATGTGGCAACGTAGCCTGCCATTTCTATGGTAGGGGCGATAAAAAATCGGATGCATTTTTCACCATGTAAGATCTCTCACACAGACATTTCTTCCTCTCCCGCCATGTGTTCAGAGTTGTCTCACACTCTCACAAACGTTGTTTCCAAGTCATGTGACCAGTCTTGCGCAGCCGCCTAGGGCGGTTTACGGACACTTGGGGTGCATCTAAACCGGCCTTGTCTCATGCACAGGTTCTTCGCTCTCTCATAAAACCAGTCATCTGGCAGACGTCTGATCTTCGCTGCCCTCATCTCCCCTGTCTTATTCGAACTGTCTGACCCTTGCTGCTCCCCTCCCCCTCCCCCGCCCCGCCGTATAACCAACCTGGGTACCTCCATCTTCCTCCCCTCATATCATTGGAATGATGCAACCTGCTAACTTCGTGTCCCGTCGACCGGTTTGACCGGTTTCGCGCCAGCCGCCTGCGACGGAGCATCCCTCGCCATCCGCCCTGCCTCAGCTCCGTGCTGACCACGGCCACCGCGTGTCGCGTAACGCGGCTCCCCGTTTTGCAGCCATGGCCACCGGGCGTCGCCTCCTGCTGACGGACCTGCTGCTGGTGCTGTTCGGCATCAGCTCGTGGCTCGCCGTGAACGGCATCTGGGTGGAGCTGCCGCTGCTGGTGGCCGCGCTGCCCGAGGGCTGGACGCTGCCCTCCTACCTCTCCGTCATCGTGCAGCTGGCCAACGTCGGGCCGCTGCTGTACACGCTGCTGCGGTACCGGCTGCTGCGTCGCTCGACCAGACTCGACTCGCTGGTCGTGTACGGCATGCTGGTGACGGGCGCCGCGGCGTGCTTCCTGTCGGCGCTCTTCTGGCAGCGCACGTCCACCGTGGCCGGCGTCGAGCACAGCACGGCGCTGTTCGTCCTGCTCTTCTTCATCGCGCTGGTCGACTGCACCAGCAGCGTGGTGTACGTGCCGTTCACGGCCCGCTTCGGCAGCCGCTACCTCGTCTCCTACATGGTCGGCGAGGGCCTGAGCGGCCTGCTCCCCAGCCTAGTGGCGCTGGCGCAGGGGGTCGGCGGCAACGCCGAGTGTGTCAACAGCAGCGCGGGCATCAACGGCACCTTCCTGACACCGGCGCCGCTGAAGCCGCGCTTCCCCGTCGCCGGCTTCTTCTACTTCCTGTTCGCGATGATGGCGCTGAGCTGCGTGGCGTTCGCGCTGCTGCTGCACCTTCCGCGGCTTGAGGCGTCGCGCGAGCGCGGCTCGCCGCCCTCCTCGGACGCGTCGGACGCCTCGCCGCGCGGGGGCTCGCCGACGCGCCTGTACGCCGTCGAAGCGCCGGCGCCGGCGCCAGCGGCGCCCGTCTGGCGCTGGCGCTCACTGCTGCCGCTGCTCGTCCTCCAGGCGCTCATCAGCTTGCTGGCCAACGGCTTCCTGCCGAGCGTGCAGTCGTACTCGGTGCTGCCCTACGGCAACTTGGCCTTCCACCTGGTGGCGACGCTCTCGCTGATGGCCAACCCGGCCGCCTGCCTGCTGCTCTTCCTGCTGCCCGTGCGGCGGGCGGCGGTGGCCGCCGGCTGCGCCCTGCTGGGCGGCCTGTGCGCCGTCTACCTGCTGCTGACCGCCGCCGAGAGTCCGGCGCCGCCGCTGCAGGGCACCGCCGCCGGCGAGGCGCTCGTGGTGAGTGACCGCGCGGCCTTGGGTCACGTGTATCGTGGCGTGGCGTGTCTGTGCGCGGCGTGATGTCACGTGACGCGGAATGTCGTCACAGGAAGCGTGACGTTGGTCAAGCCGCCTCCGCCTCCGATCGTGCGTGTAATGAGACTGGGCTTGTGGCGGGGCTTGGGGTAAGTTGGCTGGGATGGTGTGCCTCATTGTCAGGGGCGTGCTGGAGACGCCTCTGTCGGTTTTCTGTCATGTGCTGGGAAGGAGCTTCGGGCTCTCTGGGGCTGGACTATGTAGTCCGAAGTGGACGAAGGTGTCTGCTCACTCTGCGGCAGTGTGCAGCCTTCCGTCTGGCTGTTATTCCCAGGAGGCGTCGCAGGCGAGGCGTGACGTCATCGCGACGGATGTTGCCATGCATGCAACAGAGACCGTGCAGGGCTCTATTTGGAGGGCAGAACGTGAACTCAACGCCACGTCAAACTTGCAGTTTATGTTATGCATGCGATGAGGCCTGGAACTTTCCAGGCGTGGTGAGAACCCGGTGACCCATCTAACGGTTCAGCTGGGATGTTGTAGTTGTACCTCGTCGAGTTGAGTTATACAGGGACGATTCTCTTTAGTGTCGTCCTGATGTCTCATGCATCTCACTGACCTGGGTCGTGGCCTGACCTCCGCTCCCTTTGCCGCAGCTTGTGGCGTGGTTCCTCACCCGTCCCTGGTCTCTGCAGCAGGCCTGACTCCTTGCTTATGTTATGACCGCTTCTCTCCACCACAGGTGCCCGGTTGCGTCCTGATTTGACCCTCTCTCCCCGCCACAGGTGCTCGGCCGGGTGCTGTTCCGACCCCTCTGTCCGCCTCAGGTCTCGTGTTCTGACTCCCTCTCCCCGCCGCAGGTGCTCGGCTGGGTGCTGTTCGTTGGTCTGACCACATACGCCAAGGTGGGTATCGCCGGCCTGCTGCGGCCGTGGGGCGGCAGCGCCCTCTTCTGGTACGGCGCCGCCACCCAAGCCGGCTCCCTGGTGGGCGCTGTAGCCGCCTTCTTGGCCGTCAACGTCTTCAATCTCTTCACCGGCTACTACCCCTGCTGAGGTCCCTCGCCTTGAGATGCCACATGTTCACCTGTATCGCGTGTGGTCGTGAAGAAAACACGGGCTCGCGTCGCCACTGGACTGCGGCGCTGTATACGTGCCTTGTATCGTCGAGTTGTTTCGTCGTTAGCTATAGGAGTAGAGGAAGGAGGGCCTGTAGCCTCCAACTGCTTTTGGTGTTTTAGCCATGGTGTCTTATCAGAGCGGAGCGGAGCGTTTGTGTTCTAAACGTCAGAATTTCTCAGAGTCTTGGATATGGACCGCAGAGACGGTTGTCGTAACGGTGCGCAGATGTTTAAAAGGAAACCTGCTACAGCGGTACTGCGGTTACACTACTGCTGCTGCATCGATGGCTGTTGGTTGTTGGCTGAGAGTAATTCTACCGCAGTGGTCCAGCAGTAATGCTACTGCTTTGGTGGCTGTAGGTGTTTGCGTTCAACGGCCTGGACCTATTGATGAATGTTTTTTTTTTCAGTCTGGGTATGCAGTCAGCACAGCCGTCCGTATTGTGCGCATGACATCTCTTTTGCGATGAATTTTCTCTTCACTGTATAAAGAGCACTGTGAGGGGCGCATACGCCGCAGTAGCTCCTCACTGTGGTACAATTTCAGCCTAAAGCGTTTTGGCCGCAAACAGATTGTAAACGTGGCAGTGTTTCATTTGCTCGGGATGTTCTGGAGTTGCAAAGGTGCGTTGGATTAAGAATTGTCTGCTGATTTTGAGTAAAACGCCGTTGGAAACTAGGTCGGACCAGTCCGTTAAAGCTTCACTTCACGGAAGGGGGATAGGCTGGGTCATCCAGCTGACTCATTCCGCTGGTGATCTGAGGTGCTGCGACCACCAGCGGCGCACGCAGGATTTTACAGTGTGAACGGATTTCAAAATTTCTTGAAAAATGGTTAACGTGCTACAGGCGTATGAAATTTCATTAAGGCGTAAAACATCATCGCATGTTTGCTCTTTATTTTTTGCGTGTGGACGTCAGATTTTGTGTCAACATTTATTCACGCACATGTTTATGCACGTAATTTGTCTGGTGGGAAGGTGGCCACGTGCCGCCTGGGGCCGCCATGAGAACACGCTACCGGCGACAGACACATCCATTGGCCACTCGCTGTACTGAACCTTTGTTCGTGGGCTAGGTAAAAGCGATACACTGCAATAGTGCAATAGCGACATTGGTTATCGCCGTGCCCGAGTGGTACCATAGTGGGGCCCGAGCTCACAGAATCCCCGACGGCGAGGTCGCAGTGATCCCCGCGGGCTAGGGGAGTCTGTACTCCCCTCCCCCCCCCACACAGGAGCATCGGCTGGGTGAGACCAGCGAATGACAGGCAGATCGACTTCTAATGAGAATTCCCTATTCCGATCGGCCCAAATCTCTACGAAGCATTTTGCGATGATTTCGAATGTTGCGGAGTTGCTGCAAAATGACGCGCTCATTTTTCTGTATTAATGATTGCCCAAGAACATTGTGGATGAAGTTGTTGCAATAAGCACTATCTTGTCTGCTGCAATAGTTTAGTTTTTTATTACGCAATCGTTCAGTTTCAAATTTTTCGATTTAGTGATGTCAAGCCGTATAACATCCGCACGTGATGTCCAATATTAGACCATTGATGACGGTCAGAAGAAAAAATGAAAACCAGTTTGGCTGGCGCTCCCTAGGGCTCAATGTTGTCAGGACCATATGTATTTGCTGTATGTATTTGTGTGCGTGTGACTGGTTGTCTGTACCCACCGATGTCTGTCTTTCTAGATGAATAAAATGTTTGAATGTGATGGTTTGTATTATCATCGGTGTTGAAATATATATGGATATGGACTAAGCTGGCGTATTCTTGAATTTTACGGCCGCGAGATGTCTTCAGTGCAAGCTGAAGCGATCGCAGTAACTGTCCGGTGAGCCACCGTGCTTGTACCGTTTACCGCGTTTGTTGTGCCGCGATTTCCATGCGCTTTGCATCCATTGAGGGACAGCAGACCGTCGCCAGCCCTTCCATCTGCCCTCCCCTCGCTCGTGACCAACACCGTGAGGTTGGCGGATTCGGTACAGAACGCTGCCGACACGGGTCGCAGTATCCGGCCGTGGCTTTCGCTGGTGTTGTGTCGAATGGCATCGACTGGGCCACTCTGCGGCCACCGGGAGGCCCGCGGCGTCGCGGGACCAGCGAAGGGGAGGCCCGCGGCGTCGCGGGACCAGTGAAGGGGAGGCCCGCGGCGCCACGGGACCAGCGGAGCGTAGGCCCGCGGCGTCACGGGACCACAGGAGGGGGCCCGCGGCGTCACAGGACCAGCGGAGCGTAGGCCCGTGGCGTCACAGGACCAGCGGAGCGGGCCCGTGGCGTCACAGGACCAGCGGAGCGTAGGCCCGCGGCGTCACAGGACCAGCGGAGCGTAGGCCCGTGGCGTCACAGGACCAGCGGAGCGTAGGCCCGTGGCGTCACAGGACCAGCGGAGCGTAGGCCCGTGGCGTCACAGGACCAGCGGAGCGTAGGCCGCGGCGTCACAGGACCAGCGGAGCGTAGGCCCGTGGCGTCACAGGACCAGCGGAGCGTAGGCCCGTGGCGTCACAGGACCAGCGGAGCGTAGGCCCGTGGCGTCACAGGACCAGCGGAGCGTAGGCCCGCGGCGTCACAGGACCAGCGGAGCGTAGGCCCGCGGCGTCACGGGACCACAGGAGGGGGCCCGCGGCGTCACGGGGCCATCGGAGAGAAGGCCTGTGGCGTCGCGGAACCATCGGAAGGGAGGCCCGCGGCGTCATGAGACCACAGGAGGGGCTCCGTCGTCACGGGACCACCGGAGGAGAGGCCCGCGGTGTCGCGGGAAGAAAGATGTGACAGGCCGTCTGCGGTATGTGGCTTTCGTTCACGTGACATTCACGTGGGGTCTTTGTGATCCTTCACACCAGGTTTACTGATGTAGGACCATTTTCAGCGGTGGCTGACGAAAATGCTCATATTAGTGATTGAGCATGGATCTGAAGAATGTCTCACGCGATCTCCATGACGCGCAGAGTCATGTTGAGAGCGGCTTGTTCCGCTTTGTGACGTTATCATAGGGCGACCGCTTGGTGCAGCTGATGTCAGAGGACCAGAAGCTCTTAGCTCGAAACTTGGGACATCAATGCCGCTGAACCGGAAGGGGGTGGGGGCGTTCCGGCAGATCATGCCATTTAGTTTTGTTAGTGTTGCTACGAAAATAAACTCGAAGATTGTGTTATCTTAATTATTATCAAATGTCATCAGTTATAAACATGCTTACCACAGCATGGTCAGTTACAGGCGATGTCAACGGCGTTCAAAAATGCCGCAGTTTGGATTGAAGCCCATCTTGATAGTGGTCCCGCATACGGTGCTCGACTACTTACTAATGGTAACTTGATGAGCTGCATGGGGAGTAGCCCAGAAGAGCTAATCCCGGAAAACGCACTGCATGGAAAACCGACGCAAGGTTTGGATAAAGCCACCGCCGGAATGCTTACATTTGGAATCCTTCGGAACCCCCGGAAGGCCGAGTGGTTAGCGACTTCGGCTATGTGGGGCGCCTGGGTTTGAACAACGATTTTGCCATGACCAAAGTCAATAACAGACCATTATCTTTGAAACGAGCCGCAATCAGTAGCGCAGGCAGGGGGGCACAGGGGGCACGTGTCCCCTCCTTAGGTTCCGAGGGGTCCTTCGAGCCCCTGGTAACCTACGAATAGGGGCCCGAAAGACCACCTGGAGGTCCTATTCAGGGGCCCCGGCCCGCAGAGCCGGGCACCCCAATGCCAGCCAGAGTGCCCTGCGTGCTGATCAGGGGGGCATTGTGTCGGGAAGGGCCTGCATTTCGGCCAGACACCACCAGTATCACACAGCTTTGTGGCGGCGTGGGCCTAAGGGCCCACTCCCCAAGAAGGAACAAATCCGAAGCTAGCTTTTTACATTAATCGGGGTCCCACAGTGCCTAGCAGGGGCCCTGTGTTGTCTAGGGACCCCGAGTTAGCCAGAGGTAGTGTTCGAGGAGCCACGGGGGCCTAGAGGGCCCACCTGTTCCGACGATCAAGGGCGCGATCAAAGGGTCCAAGTACATAAATGGCTGGTCGGAGTCCCGTTCACGGCACCCGACCTGCGAAGACGGGCCCTCAATTAACAACCTGAGGGCCCTTTGCGCCGATCGGGGAACTCCTGAGTCGATATAGACTTATACATCGGCTAGGTAGCCACCGTACCACACCGTCGGCTCCGTGTCGGTATGGGCCTGAGGACCCACTTCCAAATCAGCTATAAAGCCGGGGCCACTGATTTACACTAGTCGGGGGCCTTGTATCTGTCAGGGGCCCACAGCGCCTAACAGAGGGCCCTGTGCTCGCAAGGGCCCGAGCCGACAAAGGGAAAGCGTTCGATGAGGCCCGAAGAGGGGCCCGGGCGGCTCACCGGAATCGACGATGAAAGGCCCGTTTGGAGAGAATAAGAGCGCGGAGGACTGACACAGTCACACAGTCACATAAGGAATCGCGGCCCGTAGAGTCGTTACCTGAAACATCAGCCAGAGGTCCCCTCGCACCTTTCGAGGAACCCCTGAGGCAATGCGGGTGTCTAAGTCGGTCAGAGACTACGAACACCGAACATTCGGCTACATGTCCGCATGAGCCCTTGAGACCTATTCCCCAAGCAGAAACGAGGCCGGGGTCTGCGATGTACAATGTTCGGGGTTCCTGACACAGTTGCCCTCACTGTGTCAGGAACCCTGAACATTGCCGGTTAGGAGCCACAGTGCCGAACAGGGGTCCTGTGGCGGCAAGTGGCCCCGAGTCGGAACTGTGTTTTAGGGGCTACGAAGAGGGGCCGAACGGTCCCCTCGAGACCAAAGATCAAGGGCCCCATGGGATGGCTGAAGTGTCCAAAGGGCTGGCTCTAGGTCACATTAAGGACCCCCGCCCATAGGGGCGTGATATCAAATTTCAGTAGGAGTCTCTTGCACCGATAGGGACCCCTGAGACAGGGTGTTCCTTTATTTCGGCCAGAGATCACGAACAACGAACAGTCAGCTCCGTGTTGGTCTGAGCTCTAGGGGTTCATTTCCCAAGCAGGGACAGGGCCGGGCCCGCAGTTTACATTGGTCGGGCTCCTGTAACGTTTAGGGGCCCACAGTGCCTGACAGGGCGTTCTGTGTCAACAAGGGGCCTCAAATCGGTCAGGGGAAGATTTACTCAAATGGGACGGGTGCAGGAGCCCGAATGGCAGAGGACGTCTTGCGTTGATCGGGGCCCTCTGACAGTGGAAGGAAACACGAGAACTTATGATGAGTGTTCACATTGATGTAATAGAAGAGTCCTGTGGTAGTCAGGGGCCCCAGTACCGAACGGTAGGCTCTCCAACCCTATTCCAGCATCGGCCCGTTAAGCCGAACTGGAGTCTATGTGCCAATTATTTGACCACTTGCGGCGAACAGGGATGTTTTCGCGTTAATAACGGCTCGTGCGTCCATCCGGGTTCAACTGCGCGTGTCAGAAGGCCTCCCGTGTCAGGGAGCGGACCAATGTGATAGGACGTATCATCCCTCTAAGGGCCTCCGGATCGGCCAGGGCATGCCGCCCGCGTCGCCAGAATGGCGGCCAGAAACTCACCGCGGTGGGACAGAGTGACCCTTCAGCCCTTGGCCGGGAACAATGTGCCCCGTAGTATTGTACTCAAGTGGCCCCTTTACCGGAAATAAGAGGTCTCAGTAGTGTTGAATGGAGTGGGTCCAAATGAGTTCAAAACGCACAAGGCCATCCCAGGTTTCTTTGAGAACGTTTACCATTTTGCAGAATCGTCTAGTGAAACAAATACCATCAAAAGGTTAGAGCCTAAGCGCCGGTTGCCAATCGTGAAGTGGTGACCGCGCCTGCGTTAACCACTGTGGTCTGGGAAACCACAGACATAGGGCTCGATTCCTCACGGTGTCCGCCCTTCCCGCCAGGGTGAGAGGCTGATGACACCATATATAGCCCCGGCAGCTGAGTGCGTCATTTAGCCTCAATGACACGCCCGTAATCTCGGGAAGCAAGGGCAGTGATGGTTTAGGTTGCAGTTTTCGTAAAACATAGTGGTGTTGGCCACTGCAAGTAACGCCAGGGGGCGGACGTTGAGTGCGCAACGATGACCATCGTAAAATAATGTTTGTGAATGCCTTTTAAAAGTAATTCGTACCGTTCATGTATTATACTGGGCGATTTTTGTTTTAAGTTGCAACTTTGACGTTGTCTTTCCGACAGATTAACAGCAACAGCACCACGGGAAATAGCGAATTTACTTTTACTCTTTCAGTTCCACCATCAGATTCCAGTACCACTTCGCGGTGTTGTGAAGACCAATACGCTTTTGTCATCAATCTAAAAACCGCACAGGTGAAATATAAAGATATGTTTTCTAATGGTCTTTTTTTAGATGCTTCACGCTTTTCTTTTACCTGTTGAGCACAGTCAAATGTTTGTCACCGGCCGACCCTGCGCGACCTTAAGAGACTGCAACGCCTGGCATCAGTTTTTTTGTCGCCAAGATTTGCAGTTGCGCATGCTCGAACCTACGTCACATAATTTGCACCATTACTAGATTCCAACAATGTTGGAACGTATCTAGACGAACATGGCCAAGGTATGTCGATACAAAATGTTGAACCATTTGGATGTTCAATCTACATGTGTATATATACGTATATGGTAATGTCAACTCAATTTTGCTATTTTGCTATTGTTCTATTCACCTGACCCAGTTCTGTTCGGTATTAAATCCATTGTTCAGTATTGAAGTATTCAGTTTACCGAAAAGCCAGGGTTGGAGATTTTAGCGCTCTCCCCCCACCCCCCCCCCCCTCTCCGCCCCCGACTCAGGCTCCAGCATCCACACAGACTTTAAAAAGAAAGTGGGCGAACACCGTAAAAGCCTGACTTCTTGTTGGCAGGCATCATTTTTCGCTGATCAGCCCACCAGCTTATTACGTGGAACTATGCCTCTGCGCCTGGGTGGCTTCAGCACAAATCGTCGCTCTTCCTGTATTTACAAAAACAAAACAATCCAACGCGTCTCACCAGTCCTTAACTTGCTTTCAAAGGTCGAAAATTGCATCCTTCACCGTAGGTTGCCACGCATCACAGCCATGAGATGGCGGTAAGGAACTGCGCAAGATACTACGTTTTAACACCAGACATTCATCCCCAGCATCCCTCCAGCGGAACTCTTCAAGGCGCCGCAGACAGACAGTTGAGCACGGCGCATCACACTAATCAGTCTGGCTGAGACGGAGGTAAACTTTGTTTGCGCCAGGCTGCTTGCCGGTTACGCTGCCGCTGCCGGCTTGACTGTCACGCTGACCTCGTACCGCTCGGCAATCCTGAAGACCACCGCTGCCGCTGCCGCTGCCGCCGCCGCCGCCGCCGCCGCCGCCGCCGCCGGAGCCGTCGTGCCGGTTGAGAGAAGGTAGTCTGCTGGCTAATCTGCTGGTCAAGTTGCGGCTCCTTCGGGACCCCACCGCGAGGAAGACACCGGGCATGCTGAAGCGGTCTGGAACGCCGCAGCCGACAGAGCCTCGCCTCCCGGACGGCCGCCGCGGCCGAACGCGGGACCTCACTTGGTGGGCGTGCTCAGACTGCCCGTGCCATGCTGCCGCCGGACGTAGACCCAGAGCACGGCGCCGATCAGCAGGGCCAGCAGGGCGGCCAGCGCCACGAGCACGATGAAGAAGGTGGTGAGCGAGGCGCACTGGGGGCAGCGCATGCCGTCGGCCGGAACGTAGCGCACGCGGGACGTGGCGCCGTGCGGCACCGCGCCGCCGGGCAGGTCGGCCGCCTCCTCCGGCAGGCGCACCTCGATCGAGCGCACCAGGTTGACGCGCTCGTCCGCTGGCTCGCCCGCCTCGCGCCGCTGCCGACCCGGCTCGTCCGCGCCCAGCGCCGAGCGCGGGTTGAAGCTCTCGCTGTGGGGATGCGTGGGTTAGAGACCAGCGGTGGAGGGTGGGCCACGACGTCCGGTGGGTGGGTACGGTGGGTGAAGAGAGCAGCGGGTGGTCGCGGCGCCCGGCGTGAGGACGCGCGGCGGCGGTGGCATGCTGTCCGTTAAATTATTTACGATTTTAATGGGTCATTCGTCTGAAGCATTCGGTATCTGATAAAGGTAGAAGACCCTGTAAACAAAACTAGTATCCTGACACGCGTAAACCTTACATCTTGCTAAACCGCCTCAGCGTGCGACAGTCACATTTACGCAATGAGGCAGTTCACAAATAATGTTTGTAAGCTTTCTAATGACAAATGAGGTGGCACGGTGACTTTGAACCTGCAATTCTCCTAGCGCTCACTTATTTGTGAACCTAAACACTTACGCCATCACAGAGCTCACCACGTGGAACTCTGTGACCCCGGCCGCAGTTTGCGCATGCGTGTTGCGCTCACCTGCAGGGCCGCAGCTCCTGGCACTTTCTGAAGCAGACCTGCACATTGCACTGTATCACAACGCGCGCGCTGGTGGGGAAGCGGAACGCCTTGAAGAAGGCGTACTGCGTCACCGAGCGCTGGTCGTTGAAGTTCCCGCCCGTCTGCTGGGCGGACGGTCATGGTAAGGACACTGGTAAAGACGAGGCATCTCTCACCACGCATAGTTCGGACAGGAACGAAAGGTTCGCCATTCAGGCTGCTTTACGAGCCCAGGTCAAACTGCCAAAATGTGGGTCGACAGAAAAATAATACATGGTAGGGCATTAGTGGGTACCAGAAGTCACCTTGTAGAAGTGGCCGAAGATTTTCGGCTTGGCCGAGCAGCCCTGGTGGATGACTTCCATTTCGCCGGTGTAGCGACGCTGGGCCAGCTGCGAGCCGCCGCCGCCGCCGCCTCCGCTGCCAGCCGCTGGGTTCAGCCACTCGATCTGCCGCCTCTCCTCCCCTGCCGTGGCGGGGCGGGGCGTAGCGGGGGGCGGGGCGGGGAGGGGCAAGGCAATTAGTCCGTGACAGACACGGGCGTCCCACGGGGGCAAGTGACCAAGGGCCAGTGGTCAGTGGGGGGGGAGGGGGGGGAGGACGTGGGGGGTGGCGTTGAATGATGGCGGATGCGGCCAGACACTGTTTATGCATAAAATCTTGGCGTTGAGTTTAGGGAACCTAAGCAAATCGGCCACGCAAAGAGACATCTGGAGGCAACACTATCACGGTTCGATGTTGACATTAGAAAAGGACCACCTCGCCTAGTCTCGAGAATTCTGAACGCTTACATCACCAAACACACGGCTTTGCGGCCACGCTATGCCACAAGTGCAAGTCGCATCATAAAACCGCCATTGTTGGGCCAGTCTAAGCACTCATCCCACAGCTGTCATGCATCTGCAAACAGCTGAATTTTGACTGCCTGCTTGGCTCACTTCGCCGGCTTGCAATCACTGTCACAATTAATTTTCATACGGGCTGAACTCTGCAGTCTGACAAAAAGGACGACCCCTGTCCAGATCCCTTTTCCTATGTATGCGATCGGAATACAGTGTCTTACTCACCGGGTTTAGTTCAAAAGCTAACTACGACTAAACAAGCTGACAAAAAGCTAACAAAAGCACAAGCTCACACGAATAAATCCAGATTTGCCGATCGACACAGCTTTAGCTTTACTGGTTAAACTGAACTGGTTTAGCGGGACCGACACGGTCCGCTCGCAGCTCGGGAGCGAAGCCGCCCGCAGCTCGGGAGCAAAGATGCTCACAGCTCGGGACCGAAGCCGGTCACAGCTCGGGACCGAAGCTGCTCACAGCTCGGGAGCGAAGCCGCGCGCAGCTCGGAGCGAAGCCGCGCACAGCTCGGGAGCGAAGCCGCGCGCAGCTCGGGAGCGAAGACTCACGGCTGGGGACCAAAGCCGCGCACAGCTCGGGAGCGAAGCCGCGCACAGCTCGGGGGCAAAGCCGTGCGCAGCTCGGGAGCGAAGCCGCGCACAGCTCTGGAGCGAAGCTGCGCACAGCTCGGGACCGAAGCCGCGCACAGCTCGGGACCGAAGCCGTGCGCAGCTCGACGGCAAAGCCGCGCGCAGCTCGGGAGCAAAAGCTACTCAAAGCTCGGGAGCGAAGCCAGGCGCAGCTTACACCCGCGCCGGTCGGCCTCTCACCGTCGAGTGCCCAGCAGGTAAGCACATTGGTATCGAACTCAAAGTACTCGTCGGCCAGCGTGAAGACGAGTGTCAGCACTTGACCGAGGAACACAGAGCCTTGCAGCTCGGGCGCGTTTGGGCCCTCGCCCTTCTGGATCTCCATCCACATCTGGGGGCCTGGCAGGCGCGGGTGCGATGTCACCATCGCGGCGGGCGCGCCAGAAGGCGGCCAGTAGCGTAGTCTAAGCAGGTACTAGTAGCAGCTACTGGTCACAGGTAGCGCAATCTACGTCACAACAACGGGAGCTGGTGACATGGCCGGCGCCCGTCGACAAGACGCGGGTAACCGCAACCACGGCAGGCGAACAGATGCAATGAAAATCCCGCCTCGCATCAAGCAGGTCAGGTCAATCAGGTCAAAAATCAGGCCTATATATTTGTGAGGACACGCTCCAGTACAGTAGTTCCGCGTCTATTCATGCGTTACAAAGCAGCCACTTACGTTACCTAACCAATTAGTCCCTTGCTTCATGACCCTTACTCGTATGTCCTACCAAAAGAGACCCAAAGCAAACGGCGTGGGGGACGGGGTGTCATCGTGGGGGTTCGAAGTTCAAACCTCATTACATCACCCGAACTGAATGGTAAAGACTGGCCTGTCTGGGTTAGCGGATCAAAGTCGACCCGGACGGGTAGAGTCTGGTCCGGGTCTGATCCGGATGTGTGGGGTCAGGGGCGGGTCCGACCCGGACGTGTGGAGTCGGGGGCGGGTCCCGCCCGGATGTGTGGAGTCGGGGGCGGGTCCGACCCGGATGTGTGGAGTCGGGGGCGGGTCCGACCCGGATGTGTGGAGTCGGGGGCGGGTCCGACCCGGATGTGTGGAGTCGGGGGCGGGTCCGACCCGGATGTGTGGAGTCGGGGGCGGGTCCCGCCCGGATGTGTGGAGTCGGGGGCGGGTCCGCCAGGATGTGTGGAGTCGGGGGTGGGTCCCGCCCGGATGTGTGGAATCGGGGGCGGGTCCCGCCCGGATGTGTGGAATCGGGGGACGGGTCTGACCTGGATGTATGGGGTCAGGCGGGCCCGGCCAGCACGCCGTCAGTCAGCCTGCCTGACCTGGATGGGTGGAGCTGATGAACGAGGCTGCCTTGTCCAGAGTGGACAGATCGAAACGGATCGTCTTGTTGTAGTCGTCGGGCCGGTCGCAACGAACGATGATGGACGAGTCCCACTCCTCCACGATCTCGCGGTCCCACTGGATCATCAGCCGGTGCTGCAGAGGCAGAGGAAGAGGCCGGCAGTCGGTCACCACCCCACGCGGGAAGCGGACACAGGTGAAACACCGGAAGTTGGAAGTGGAAAAAGACATCGAAAAGAAAGAGCGAAATTCCCAATACAAAACATAGCTTCCAATTTGCTAACCTCAATGTTCAGGCAAAACGTTTCGGGACGTAATGTCCCGAGTGGTTAGAGCCTTGCGCGGTCGCGTGGGGGCGCCATGGTTGTGCCATAGCCCGGGGTGCCAATATGGCCTCTGCAGTCACTGGCGCTCTATGCAAGGGCGCGAATCAACCTGCGTCCAGTTTCCCTTTTAGAAAAGAGATAGACGCTTTGGCAGGGCACCGCGCTTTGTGTCTCCGTGGGTCTGACGGGGGACTTGCCTCGATCACGGGCGAGAGCGAGCCATCCTGGCCGAGGCCGTTCTCATTGGCGCACGTGCCGTGCCCCAATAGAAGAGTCACCCTCGACTCGCCGTTGCCCTCGTGCAGCAAGCAGTTGTGGAAGTGGTTGTACGGGTAGATGATGCCGTGGAATGGCGCGGACAAGCTGGAACAATGCCAGTCATGCCAGTCGCAGACTAAGTGCCAAAGGAAGATCATGGAAATGTAAATAGAACGCAACACCGATTGCAGCTGCGGATTTACTCACTTAGATATCGTTTTGTGCTTGCTTGCGTTTTGGGCTGAAATGATTATGCAAGCTTGAACTTAATATGGGGCTCATTGAAGAAGCATACCACACATTGGCACCTCCATTACGACAGCTTCACCCATGGTGTCCCCGGAGGACAATTCGTAAAAGCAGCGATGTTTTAGACCTTCATGGTTCGTTTGCTCTGAAGGACAGCCTCGTCATAACCATGTCCTGCTCGTTTTGAGAAATTGTACATACATCTCTCGGGTTGGCTTCAACCTCTAACAGATAGCAATGGACAAAATGTGGACCTGCAGTACAAATGTCAAACGCACGGTGCGCGTACAATTTGCAATAGCTCACACCACAACAATGACTGCCCTCCGGGCAGCACGAAGACCGAAAGCTCGCCTGCCCCAGAGCCATGAGCAAAGGACCGCAACTCACCTGAACTCCACGCGCATGTTGCGACTCTGACAGGTCACCACCGTGTCGACCACCGCCATGGGCATGCCACCCGCACCTGCGGCCCTCGTCGGCTGCGACGCCTCTTGGAACTGCTGGAACTGCTCCTGTCGCTGCTCTACCTGCTGCTGTTGCTGTTGCTGCTGCTGCTGCTGCCGCCGTTGCTGCTCCTGTTGCTGTTGCTGCCGACGTTGTTGCTCCTGTTGCTGCTGCTGCTGCCGCCGTTGCTGCTCCTGTTGCTGCTGTTGCTGTTGTTGCTGCTGCTGTTGTTGCTGCTGCTGCTGCTGCTGCTGTTGCTGCTGGGGTGTGGGCGGCGGGCCGACGGTGGGCACGGGCGGGCTCTGAGCCGGCCGGCCCGGCTGGTACTGCGGAGGGTAGCCCTGCGGCCCGCCGGGCGGCGGCGGCGGGTACGGCCGCGGCGGCTGCGCAGCGTAGTAGGGCGTGCGCGCCTCCGGCCCGGGGTCTGCATCCTGGGCCCAAGCGGCCGGCATCACCAGCTGCCGCCGGCACAACGTCACCACCGGGTCAGGCATTTCGGGATATGCGTCCTAGGCAGTCAGCTACAGGGGGCTAGGCATAACCGGGAAAACCCGGCGTTGTACAATCCACATAGTTGATAATTCTATTTTTGATGCAGTGTGCGGTGGGTACGTCACAACAAAACTGTGATTGTATTTTTCCCGCGAGGTCCGGCCACGCAAGCCAAAGATGGTGTGCTAATGAACATCACAAATTATACTGAAATGAAATGGGACCCAGTCCAGCGTTAACAGCAAGTACCACCACCTGAACAATCTGGAATCGAGCAACACGCCAACCAGAATTGTGCCGTCCTCACCAAGACGGCGACGAGGAGGAGCATGGTGACCGCCGCCGGTCCGCAGCCGCACCACACCCGCTCGCGCCGTCCCGACCACTGGCGGCGGCGCGACCTCAGCCCCGGGCGTCGACCCCGCATGACCTAGTGACGTCACAGCGCCTCAGGCGGCGTTCCAGGGCGGGGTGGCAGAGGCGGAGTGGGGCCGTGCCTGGAGAGGGGCGGCGTAGCGGACTGTCACTTGGGCTCACCAGCGGACAGGAAAGCCGGAGGGGCGAACAGGGATTTGACCTTGCTGAGCCTGTTTGCCTGATTGGTGTACCGTCAGCAGTGTTGGCTGACGGGACGATGGTTTAAGCCGTGCCTAATCATGTAGGCGAGGCTGCAGTTGGCATCACCAACTGCCGCACTGCTGGCCCACATCGGCTGGCGGAAAGGGACCGCCGACACCGGTCCCACTCTGCCATGAAAAACAAAATAAGTCATTGTGGTGATAGCGTCCGTGGTTTTGTGGCGCACTGTAGCCCTTGTCATTCAGCGCCCAACATCGATTGAACAAAAGAAGCTGCGTGGGTGAGGTGCTCTATGGTACAACGCCCGGACTCTAGGGGAGAGGCAGCGGTGCTCATTATCTGTGGTACAAGGCCCGGACACTAGGGGAGAGGAAGGGGAACTCATTATCTGTGGTGCAAGGCCCGGACACTTGGGGAGAGGAAGGGGAACTCATTATCTGTGATGCAAGGCCTGGACACTAGGGGAGAGGCAGCGGTGCTCATTATCTGTGGTACAAGGCTCGTTCACTAGGGGAGAGGCAGGGGTGCTCATTATCTGTGGTGCAAGGTCCAGACTCCAGGTCAAAGGTAGGGATGCTCATTATCTGTGGTACAAGGCCCGGACACTAAGGGATAGGTAGGGGAACTCATCAGCGGGGCTGCTAATCTGCCACGGCGGCGCGCCCCGAGGCAGTCACGGTAAAGCGAAAATGACACACAGCACACAATGAAAGGTACTTGACATAACGTCACACGGGTGGTATATGACACACATGATATTATGTTATGCGGTAAAATATATTTTCAGTTCCGAGGTCGATGTTGCATTTTCTGTCCGAGAATGAAGGTCGAGGGAAGAATATTCAGCAACGGGCGTGGTGTGGTCAGCAAAGAACCGGTGACGTATACGCTGGGGCCTAGAGACCGTATTGGGCATAGCGTTTTAACGACTACATTGCTGGGCTAACCGAACATTTTTCAGTAGCGGAGTCCCTACACAAAAAAGTACGACAAAAACCAGCATGGAATCTGTCATAACGTTTCTCCTGCGTTTCGCAGCTCAACTAGCTGACGAAACAAAGGTAGTGCGACTTCGTGGAAGCAGTTGACATATGTCGTGCATTTCAGTAGTGCTGCATCTCTTGCTTAGACGGAATGTATTGTTTTTGTTCCTGTTGTCATTGTTACCAGACAACCCTGAGTCGTCATCTTCTATTCCAAGCGCACGGTTAAGGCAGCTTCTATCTATATCAGCTACAGGAGAACCAAAAAGCATTCCCATAATAATTTCCGCAATGTCCGTCCATCTGCCACGCACAAACGCGGCCATGGCTCGGTGACGGTGTCAGCCGGCTACGCGCAATCCGACGTGCGACCCGGGCAGCAGGGACGCATCAGTGCACCAAATTTGGGATCGGACCCAACCGGCAAAGCGTCGCCGGCGCGCGTATATATTCCAGCACATATGAAAATTCCAGTCTTGGTGAAAATATGTTCTAAAGCTACCAAATTAGAGAAGTTTTCTTACCCGTGCACGGAATACCAAACTTACGCATCACAACACTCGTACACATAAAAAATACCGCTGCGTAAGCTTGGCCCGTGTAGTGTCATCTTTCAGGCTCGCATGGAGTAGCCAAAAGGTCGGAAGGATGCTGGACACCGTGAGCAAATTTTATTTGGTCACTCATAAAGCCCGGTAAAATGTGGGCCTCTGGCTTGGTTCTCACTGGCCCTGCTTTGTGACTAGGCTGTGATTAAGTCCTGGCCTGACACAAAGTTGAGTTTGAATCATGAATCATAGAAGTAACGTAAACATAGGCATAAAGATATCTTTGAAAGTGTGTAGTGGGACAGGGGCGTGCCCAAACCTTAATTTCTTATGTTGCCTTACCGCTTACCCTGATAGGGAGGGGGGCAGGGGTTCAATGCGACCCCCAAGGTGTCCTGAAGATACCTCTCCGTGATGTCGTGCAATCGTTCCAAAATTTTCGGTAGCACATGAGGCATCCTGTTTTTACACCAAAAACGCGTCCCTACCGCTTTTATTTTCGGAGCAGGAGGGTTTTTTTTAGGAACACTGCACGGCGATCTACGGCTGGCTGACTGGGGGAGGGGAGGCAACCGACGATGCCGTGGAACGCGAGTGACCGTGCGACATCGTCACATTAACGAAGAAGACACACACCATAAACATGTCGTCAAAACACGTAATATTAAACACAGTTGTTCTCATAATTGAACAAGGAGCACGCTTGTTTACGTTTCGTGTTGCCACGAGGTATGGCCTCGTAGGTATGATGTAAATCTGAAAAGGTGCGATTTCAAACATTTGCGACTTTACCCGATGGACACAGCTCGCGGACATTGGTTACGTGTGTATGCAACATGTTCACCTTAAGACGGCCAGTATCTCGAATTGTGTGGTACGCAAATATCGTTAAGCCGGGCGAACACGCGCAGGAGACGAGTTCCATGCATGCAATTGTTTTAAGAGTGAAGGAGGCATTTTTTTTAAAAGGATCTTGCAGGCAAAGCTTGTTTCATTTTGACAGATTCCGCTTGGCCATGCTACATTGTATGCTGTTATTTCTGGGTTGTGATATGCTGTCCTCCGCTCTGTTGTCGCCTTCTTAATTTGTTCTGTCATGTGTTCTGCCATTTAGAATCGTGGTGTGTGTATCTAGAACCTATCTTACGCGACAAACTCCTTCTTAACCCACTCAGCCCTCAGTCCTCCCCGCCCTTAGCCCTCCCCTCGGCCCTTGCCTTCCTGTCGTCTTCTGCCCTATGCCACCACCTGCTTCCTTACATTGTGCCATTATCTTCTGCTCTGTCCCATCCTGTTGTCTTCCGTCCTGCGCTGATCTGCGCTGATCATTTGCATTTGCATTTCCACCCGTACCCCTCCAGCTGATCTGTCCTGGCCTGTTCTGTACTGTTCTGTCACCTCCTGCCCCTCTCAGTCCTGTCTCCTGCCCTGTCATGCCACGTCCGGTTGTGGTGGACCCTCCCTAAAGGCTAGGGTGGGCCGTAGTAGCTTGCCCCTTTCAGGAGTGTTCCGCCGCCATGCTGAACTTTAGCCGGATTCGGCAGGGGGTGACTGCACCCCGCCCTCCCCAAATCCTCCGCCCCTGATCACGTTATGCCAAGTCCCAATCTCAGTCCCAATCCCAGCCCCATCCCAGCCTCAGTCGCAGTCCCAGTCGCAGTCCCAGTCCCAGTCTCAGTCCCAGTCCCAGTCTCAGTCCTAGTCCCAGTCCCAAACACAGGCCCTAACCCAGTCCCAAACCCAGGCCCAGACTCAGCCGCAGGGTCAGTCCCAGTCCCAGTCTCAGGCCCAGCCGCAGTCCCAGGCCCAGGTCCGGGCGTAGTCCCAAGTCCAGGCCCAGCCACAGTCCCAGGCCCGAGCCCAGTCGCGGTACCAGGCCCAGGCCCAGCTTCAGTCCCAGACCCAGGACCAGCCGCAGTCCTAGACCCAGGTGCAAGCCCAGGCGCAGTATCAGGCCCAGGCCCAGCCACAGACACAGCCGTAGCCCTAGCCCAGCCCTGTGATTCACTACCTAGCGCCGCGCTGATCACGTTACGCATGCAACCGACGGCGACGTAGCCGACGACCGACGAAGACTTGGTTGCAGGGTCGCGGGAACTGGATTTGTGTGTGTGGGCGGGGGGGGGGGGGGAGGGGACTCTAAAATGCCATGTTGGGCCCTCTAAGATTAGATAGTTGGCGGCTGCACGCCAGAATGAGCCTTCTAGGAGTTAGAATAGAGTTACACTCTCGACAGAAAATAATGGACCTTCTACACGTCATAATGTGCCAACTAAGAATGGGCCCACCTAGACTAAGAATGAGTCAATAATGGACCGTTTACAGATCAGAATGGACATCTACAGGTCAAAACAGGTCCTTTTCAGACTCATAGTTGCCCTTTTTGGTCGGGAAGGACCTTAGATTGCCCAGAATGAACCCTTGACAGGACAGAATGGACTTTTGCGTGCACTCACCCCACAGCTTTCGAGTTGGGGGGGGGGGGGGGGGGGTGCCCCTCCCACTGCCCCCCCCCCCCGCCCCCGTTTACCGCGTCCTTGTTTGGGTGCCACCCCGTCCTCT